TAAACTCAATAATATGGATTTCCATTTAATTTAAATATTTTAAATTAGGAATCTGAATTACTACTTCTAGCATATTTAACTCTTTAAGGTCCAACTATAGAGAAATCCAGCGTTTTTGCCAGTTGGAAAGGGGAGGAGCTGAATTGTTATTATAATTATTGTATTTTTTAAATTTTTTGTTGTAATATTTATTTTTGATTTAGTTAAAAAATATTATTATATTAAAAAGGGTTTAATTTATAAATATTAAGGTTTTATATATAATTATCAATTTAAAAACAAAACAAAAATTGTTTTGTTTTGAATGCGACCGACACAAGTTTTCTTCATCCATTTTGTTTTCTTGTCGCGACTCGAATCGAACTAGCTGCTTCAATTTTTAAAAAAAAATTTAATCCAAAATGAGTTTAGAAAACACTGAAACTAACTCAGATCATTCGCTAAGTGACTCTTCTGATGATTGGAATACAGATGAATATGAAACAACATCGGATGAAGACATGGATGTCTCTTTACCTACACATGTACAGTTTCTAACTATGTAAGTCTATCTATTCACTCAATTAGACCACTAAAATTAACATTTCTAAATAATCTGAACAACAAAATATATTTAGCAATTTAAGTATAGTATCCTAGTTATAGTCTTACATTTTTTTAATGATAATTTTATTTTCCAATCCTGTTTTGACTTTAAAAATAAAAGTGTTAGTTTACATAATCAGCTGATCAATCGGCTAATTTTAGTTTTCATTGTTGTTTTTGTGTTTTGCCTAACTCTAATGAGTAAATAAGGGAATTTATTAACTCATTCTTTTAAAAATATGTTATTAATTAGTTTATTTAATATAGCCTTATATTTAAAATGTTTTTTTTCTCTAATCAGGGCAGATAACACATTGCGAATTGACTTGGATTAAAACATATCAAGATGTTGACCAGGGATCCCTCAGGCCATATAGTACCTAAATTTATCTCTAAAAGAAAACCTGGTCTCAATATTATGGATTCTGGAAGCAAACAACTAGAAATGAAATGCAAAAACTAAAAACTCAAGGCAAGAAATTTTTGAGATTAGAATTGCAGGACTAATGAATAGGCTATAGCCATAGGCCTAATATTTCGATTTTATGTTTGATAATTATTTTGTTTTAAAATATCACTTTTCTTATCCTAACACTAACATAATTTATATTATTACAACTTTTATATTATTGTTATATCTGTTAGATCAATTAAATCCTGATTTTATGTCATGCTTCCTTGCAATTTACAAATAAACTAATTATCGTCCACAGGCAATTTCTTCACTCTTTTTCTGTCAGGATATCATGTTGAAAATTTGTGACTACACCAATGCTTTTGCCAACCATATGAGAGAAGAAAAAGAAGTACCTCTACACCAGGGGTCTCAAACTTAAATCATCAAGGGACCTCAGGAGGGTGAGTCTGAGTCAGACTGGGCCACATCAAGTATTCCACAAAAAAAGCGATTACAAAGTCAATGAAGTACAACTGTTACAATCAGCTGAACCTTTATTAATAACAAATAAAAACATTAAGGGTTCTCAAGAACTCGGCTTCACTTTCTTCCTCTTACTCCTTGTTGCCAGAGATCTGGCAGCGCTTCTTCTTACACAGCTGAGCAAAATTTGGCTTGAGTGAGGAAGCAACTGAGACCCTCAGTATAGCTTGAAGATGCTCATCAGTAAGTTTCACCCTGAACCTTGACCTTTTAACGTTAATAGTGGAAAAGAGCTTTTAACACAGATAGGTACACCCAAAAGGGCACATGATCTGCTTGAACAACCTGGATGTGTCAGGGAAGGTGGAGGGCAATTCTCACATAAATTGTCCAAGCTTGTTTGTTTTTCTATTCACCTCCCTGAACTTAGCCTTGAGTTCAGAATTGCACTGAAATTCAGTCATTTGAAGCGCAAAAAAAAAAAAGGGTGGGGACATATTCCACATTGATGGAGAAAGGGTCAGCAAAAATGTGAAAAGTGGCTCTGTGTGTTTTGAAGTCTGTAAAACTGTGAACAAATTCTTCCTGTAGTTTTTCCTGTAGTATACTTACTACTGAATGGTCCCCGAGTCCAAGAGTACTTTGCATGTTGGAAAATGGAAGAGGTTTCTCTCAGAAAGCTGGGTATTCCATGACACAAGTTTGTTCAGAATGCCTTGACATTGTCATAGGCAACACTGACAAGCTACCCCTGATCTTGTAAATTCTTGTTGATTACATACAGCTCCTGTGTAATGTCAACAAGGAAAGCCAAGTCCATGAGCCATTTGGGATCACTTAGTACAGGAAAAACCACTACATCCTTCTCCATGAAGGCTTTGAAGGCTAAAACGTGTTCAAACAGTAGGCAGGGGCAGGCAATATTTATGAATTATTGATGCGATGGAAGATGCTATTGTAGGGAGAACAAATTTTGATTTTTTTTATAGAAGAAAAGGCCTTTTTGACTAACCTTATTTTGAAAGTGACCAATCTGACAGGCTCGGAATTTCTTTCACTCGAAAACACTAGCAGTAATTTTAATAGGGATTCTTTAATACTGTGTCAGGTTGTTAGATTTAAAAAATTATGGTTGTGTATTACCCACTAACTGACTTTTTTAAAACTTTTCTCAAAACTTTGGCCATGTTTGTCTTATAAAATGCTATAAAATAAAGACTTTTAATCCGATTTTTTTACAACGGTTTTTACCATTATAATCAACGTCCAAATCTATTTCAACATAATAAACATCAGAATTAGACTAGTCTGTGAGACTCTACTGAAACTTTCATCGAGGGTCCCATTATAGATATGAGAATGGGGAAACGTGCCGGCTGCATTAACACTAAACTTTGCTGTCAAGTAGCGGGCCGCAAAATATCGTCTTGCAAATGGCCCGCGGGCAGCAAGTTTGAGACTCCTGATCTACACTACTTGGAAGAAAATACCCTTACAGAAAACTAATTTTTTTTTTCTTTACTTTTCGACATGAGCCAATCCCATCATGCAGTGTTACTGTCATGAAAAGAAAGAGCATCAGACTGTACTGTTAATGAATTGTTTGAAATGTGATAAGTCTTTATATCTAATTGAAATTATTGTTTATTGTTAGAACATCCCCTAAGCCTAGAAGACTCTTTGACTCTTTTTGTATTTGTTTAGAACTTATTTAGTCATGTAAGCTCTGGCTTTACTATTCTTATTTATAATTATCTAGTTATTAAAATTTCAATAATTTAAAATCAAAATTATTCAAATTATTTAGAATAAATATAAACTTTTAAATTTAAAAATAAATAGGTTTTAAACTTTTTATTTAAATAATTCTGCATAATAAGCTCACTTGTCTAAATTTAACTGCAAAAACACTACCACTTATGCATGTTTCACCTAAAAAGATTATTTTTTAAAAAACGAACAGTTGTACCGGTATTTGTAAAATTCCTTTTTCGGATTTTTTATATTTGATTGCATAATTAAAAAAACAAATTTTTTTTTAAAGATTGCCTTACAATATGTTATTTGTGTAAAAAAAAAAAATGTTATAATAATGTAAAATCATTTTCACCATTCAATCGTGAATGTAAGAGAAAACACAATCATTTTCTAGCACAATTTATAAAATATGAATGTCCATTCATTTCTGAATAATAAAATATATAATCTGATGGGTATTAACTACCTACTGTACTCTTTTTATAATATCCCATTATGTGAGATGACCTAAAAATAAAATAATTTAAAAAAAACATTGGACTGCACAGAGTTAACCAAGGAATTATGTCTAAATATATCTAAATTGCTTTTAAAAGTATCATCTGAGTAAACTTTTTTAAAAAATTGCTGTATCAGTTGTTTTTTATAATTGAAAAAAACTGACTTTGTGAACATGCTATTTTAATTTAAAAGTTGTGATCCACCCATTTATGAAAGAAGTAAACATGTAGGATATGCACCTGGTGAAAGGGGGGTTATTCATGAATTTTTCTTGTTGCTATGTGTTGAAATAAAGTGTAAAACCCTGAAGATCTATTTACATTTACATGCAGAACTTCTTTGCGACTCCAAGTCTCTAAATCTAGTTTATGTTTGTCATTAGAATGTAGTGTCACAGCTGCTTTAATGTAAGAGTCTGTGGACTTAGTTCACATTCCTTCACCCAAGTTCGGGTATATGATGTAAACATCTGAAATCATGACTAAGACAAGATAGTGGCAATAAAAGAGAAAAATATCAGTATATTTAATTATCAATTTACTTAATCACTAAACTAGCCATGCAAAAAAAAAAATTATTGTTCTGAATATTACTCTTACATCAAGGCCTCTTAAAAATGTATTTTTTGTGTGTATTTTGTTCCAATAGTTTTATTTTGAACCAATTCTTTGTTCCATGATATTATTATGTGTCCTTCCTCAAACAGTTCAACATGTCACCCATAGACAGGCCAACTTTTGATGATGATGAGACAGGTATGCAAATAAATTTGAGCACTGAGGCTAACACAGATGAGATAATTGTCCCTAGCCTGATGGAACCATCAGTTTACAGCGGTGATGAAGAACACAACAAGGTGAACAGGTTTGATAGAAATGAAGAATATAAATGAATATTTTTCCACCAACCCACAATGTTTAACATTACCTTAATTAACCTTTGCTTATGTCTTATATATTTTGCTTCTGATGTGTCCTGCTTCATTTTCAAAACTGGCCCTTCCCCTGCTCAACATGTTTTATATAAAAAGTTTAATTTGTGTCATTTGTGGAGGTGACTATTATATTAATCAATTAAGAGCCATGGGTATGGTATAGGACTATTATTTAAAGGCCGGCAGGTAGGGTGTATGACTTTCTGTGGGTCCATTGTTTAAAGGCTGGCATATCTATTAATATTATAGGAAATTAGAAGTTAACTCTTTTTTTTGTCACACTTTGACCTTTCGTATTTTTTCAAAATATTTAGACACGGTGTAAAAAAAAACTGCACTCAGTTAAGCCTTAATGTTTAATAATTATTCAACAAATTGAAACGTTCACATTTATTTTTCAGCTCTGTAATATGGCATCCATATCTCAATTCAAACACTCAAGTACAGCTCAGTCAAGCTTACAGATGACAAACACTGCCAATAATATATCCAAGAAAGCTTCACCATCAACTCACAAGAATTGGTTGGGGAGGTCCGTACAAAATACCGGTAGTGGAACTTTGGAAATCACCCGTGATAATAATGTAGACAATAATTCAAACAAAAATGTTTTCACGATTGTTCAGACAGCAGAGAAGAAAGGAAATAGAATGAAAACAAACAACTCCTATTCTCTGAAATCTGGCACAGAAATAGGCAATAGCAGCGTCTTACCCAAACAAAATGATCAGGCTAAACAAGGAACGTGCATTGCAGCAGCTTTTAACAGAGATAAAAAAAGATCCGTGACCTGGTGTGCCAGTGTAGAATCACTGGATAGTTCTAGAAAAGGAAAGCTTACAGACGTGGCAAGTGCGATATCAAATGACATAGAGCAGATGAAAACTGATGAGCCAGACCATCAACGCGTGGAACCACACTGTAAGGCTAAGAAATCCAGATGTGTACAGAAAATTGGGATTTGTTTTATAAATAAATTGTGTAGGCTTGCTCGAGGAAAATTGTGTCAACAATCAGATAGTTTGAATGTAGACACTAGCAAATTGTATCAACAATCAGAAAGTTTGACTGTAGATACTGGCAAATCTGATCAATAACAGAAGCAACTAGGAGACAATGGGTTCTAAATTAACTGAGAAAGGAAAATCATTCACATTCTTCAATTTTTACATTATAATTTATTTACGGGTACTTCAACTTATAGAAATGAAGTCGGGGTTTTGTGCACAATGTTTCAACTTTTTGAGCCATTGAAAAAAACAGAATTTACTGTGCTTTACATTTTGCTGCTTAACTTATTTTGAGTACGCAGACCTGTTTACCTGCAAACTCTTAAAATCGTACAATATCATAGCAAAATTTTCAATACAAGATCTTAATAGTAAAAAAATAAACATACAGTATGTATAATGGATACACCTCGAAATCTTACATTGTACGCCAAAATCGTAAGAGTAAACAGCTCTGAGTTTACTTAGGAACCTCAAAATATAAACTGTTGTAATAATGTAATGTACCGGTAACTACATTAACACCAGCAGCAAATTTTGTTGACATAGATCCCATTATTTGAACAATCACAATAAAGATTTTGTGCCCATTATTTATTCACAACCCATTTATGTGATTTTGAAAATTTCTTTTATCTTTAACATTTAATTGCTAACAATTTGTTTTCAATCCGTTGAAATCAATATTATCATTAAGGGTGAAGGTCTCAGCTTTAGTGCTTAAAATGTGTGATAGTGTCAGTAGTGTTATTTGTGTGATTACTGTCATTGTGTGATACTGTCATTGGTATTATTTATGAAAAATATTTAACACAATATTGAACAATAATCTGGAGTCTCTATCAATGGTTGTGATATCTTACTATCATTGAGAGCAATCTGTGATTTTTTTTAATATATTATTTATTGAACTCATTGAAATGTGATTATGAATTATAACTTTTTGCAATTTCTTCACTTTCAAAAATTGTTGAACTACACACAGCTAATGCCAATTTGTCCATTCTCAACTATGTAATCTCTAACTCTAATTATTAATTATACATTTTTTCAACCAAGATATTTTATAACTTACTATTTATTTTTAAATGAGAACTTTCAATTTAATTTAAACTACAGATTATCTCTTAATTATTGGTTGATTAGACCCATTAATCTGAAGAATGTCCATTGTTAGCAACTTTTGACACAAGCCTAGTTACAAATCATTTCCAATAGAAAATGGCATGTCAGTAATAATTTAGCTTTAAAATTTTATTACAGTTGCAGGCAATATTCTTCTTTTACTTCTATTCAAATTGTGGATATGAAAATTTGCCCAACTCTAGCAATGCCTTTAAAAAAAAATTTTTGCATAACATATTTATCTAACAACTAATCATCATAAGGAGATAAGGTTTTTTTTTAATAAAATTGATTTTTAAAAACATTTTTGTCCACCACATCTCTTTGTTTCATAAATAAAAACAACATTTTTTTTCATTTTTGTGCACTTCAAACTGAAAACCACTTTATTTTGACTTTTTACCCTTGCCTTTGGACTTTGCAAACAGTGAAGGATCAATTTGGTCGATTGTCAATCCCTTTACTAAAAACAATCTTTCAGCTCGCTCCTGCAGTGTCCCACCACACTTGAGGCCTCTAACCATTAGTGCATTTTTCAAAACCTCTAATCCAAGCTGTGCCAACTCTTGACTACTTTTGAAATCATCCAGATTTATGGGGGAGGAGCCACTGTTTGTAGATTTGGTAGAAGAAAGTTCACAAGTTTCATTTAACTCAGTTTTACAACTAATTTCTTCATCACTGTGTCTGGATGATTGTACAGTCTGATCGTCTGACACCACACTAATCAGTTCTTGCTTAACTGATGAACTAGACTGACTGTCATCTGCTTCCGTATTCTTGACTATGTAACCAGGGTTTTCAGAACTTTCAGTCCAAGAACTAAGATCACCAGGATTAGCTTCATCGTCTGGATTACTGTCTAAATCATCAGAGTCGAGGTCTGCACCGAGCCTATGATAATTAAATCTTGATTTGAGATACATATAAAATGTTTTAAATGTGAGAAAAAAAAAATATTCATGAGGAAAATATGTCTTTTTTCAAGACTGTTTCCTAAATAATTTTTAAATTATATTTATTGATACTACATAAAACTTTAAAAGTATTAAATAAAAAATATACAAACCATTCTGTTTTTGAGCTGCTTCCAATTTGCTTTGACTTCTTAGAAGATGAAGGACCGCTATCATTAGTTTTTTCTTGTTTTCTTTTTAAGCCTGGATATACATAAAACCAACATTATATTTATTTAAGAGTATTTATTTTTTAAACTGGATTATTTTTTTAAAGAGTGAGTGGATGTACCATTACAATTTTGGTTACAGGTACTTTTTTTTTTTTATTTTTGCAACAAGAGCTAGTGAAATAAAAGAATAAAATATTAAATAATTTGTTTTGTTATTAGTACTATGCACATTCACTGACAGCAATATTGGGTTGGTTTTTTTTATTTGCTTTGTTTTTTATTAACCCACGAACTGTGGCATGCATCATTCTGTGGTGTGGAGCTTTTCAGAGCGTTTTGAGTGCCATTTGAAATTGCATTAAATGACATAGAAATATTGATACAAGATCCCTATATGTATATATTTTTAGAAAGGTAAATGGATGGGGATAAAGTTGACCATATTGCCCACCCAGTAAAAAAAATTTTGCTCAGTGTCCTTGACCTTGGAGTTCTCAAGGAAAAAAAATTTGACAAAATGTCTTGCTTTCAAGTGCTCGCAACATAAATTTTTATAGATACATGCACTTAAAACACAAATCTAAATGTTGTAGCCAATTCATTTATCTTTAAGAAAATGTATAGTTTGCTAAGGTTTTGATTGCAATTAAACCCCTAAAAAGCAATTTTAGTTATGTTATGTCATTTACATGTGAAACTGGGACCACTGCTAAAACCAAGTACAAAATATGAAATCTCAGGCAAAATAGTTATTATTGACTAGTAAACATTTAAAAAGGAACTGTGGAAATGATTTGGGTTGTTTAACTATAAAATTTATTAGTTCTGAACTATAATCTGTACCTTCTGTGACTAAAATTCAGTCAGTCCTTGCCCAACCTCAGGGCCTGGCTCGAAGTCTAACAGTAGCCTCAGTAGGCCTACTTCAGTATCACTAAGACTAGTATAAAATTCACAAGAAGAATAATCTCAACTGATTTCGTCATGGGGAATGTTAAAATCATCATAAGTATCACTTAAAACCTCTCCTAAAAAGATTTCAAAAATATTTCTATTAGTTCTTGCACTGAAGGCCCCGCCAGGGCTTCAAACATTTTAGCTTTTAAAAAAACAGCGATATAAAACTCCGATTAAAATTTATTTATTTTCAAGTTATCACGAAACAGCTTGAACCGGAAGATGATTTAATTATTAATAAAAGGACGTGGCTATAATTACCGTTAAATATTGGATTGGAAGTTGCTATCGGACCGTGCTCGGGCGACCACAGTTCGTGGGTTAAAAAGAGAATCCTTCAACTTTGTGCAAACAGCAATATTTGGAGGCTCTTCTATTTTATTTTTTGAAGTAAAAAAAGATTCGTTCAACTTCTGCTATGCTCTATTAAAGAAAAATAATCTAAGCCAAAGGGACTGCTAAAACCTATTCCATTTTTCTAAATCTAATTTTGACATGAAACTGTTTTTAATTTTAATGACCTTTGCTCAATGCATCCTCTAAATCTTCTTGTACTTTAGTCCGTTGCTCATGATATTCCGGGTCATCAAATTTGTGCTGTGTTGGGGCTAACTGCTTGGCAAGACGCTCTTGTTTCCGTGTTTCCCGATCTCGCTCTCGTTCTGCTTCCTTGGCTAACCATTCCTTAAGTCTAAGATTGAAATAAATATATAGCAGTAATATGATCAGCCGTCTTCTTTCTTCTTTTTTTTTTTAAAAACCATACAAATAATATTCCAGTTTTTAAACAAAGACTCTTTTTGGTTTAATTGTTAAGTTTACTTGAAGAATCATTATCTTGCGCTAGCTTACTTTTTTTCATTGTTGATGTCTCTCATCCTTCGACCACTCAAATCTCTGCAAGCCTCTCTGCTTGTTGTCTTCTCAATCTGAGCACCAATAGCTCGCAGCATAGACCCAAAGCCTACATGGTAGATTATAATGCTGTGTAAGTTAATGCTATCTAATAATTCATACTACAACACATTTTAAAAATGGTTAATAACTCAATGAACTGTAAATTGACATTGTAAAACTTTAAATTTAAACATAGTTACTAAACAATAAGGTACAAAAAGTTGCATAGTTAGTTTTCTCACAAGCTTGCAACAATAGAAAAGATCAAAATAAAATAACAGTGGCACAGTTAAATTATAGACAAGTGTCTTCATAGGCTGGTTAACTTTTCATTATATTGGCACTCTGAATGAACCTTCACACATAAAAGTGAGGTTTACTTAGCCATGTCATGGAGTAGCCTAAAAGTATTGTTTAAGCCATGTCATGGAGTAGCCTAAGAGTATTGTTTAGTTAAGTATATGAGATAATTTTTACACTTATAAGTTTTACAGATTAGGAATAGGGATGTTAATTTAGTTTTTTTCTGGAAATGGGTTTCATAACCAGTTTATGGAATTTTGGTTTTAAACGGGTCATCTGTTTTTCCAATGCATTCACAATTGTCCCACACAGCAGGGCAAATCACTAGCATAGGAAAGGGGGTGGTCAGCCCTGACCTGCACTATTATAAATATACATTTTTTGGCCAACTGCTGAGGTTTTTGTGGGGGGGGGTGGGGGGGGGGCCCGCAAATAAAATAACAGCAGTAGATAATATCTATTCTTTAAAAGCTAAGTTTTAACATACCTCCTTTACCCCCAAGCAATCTTGGAACAATATGATATGTTCTACCATCCTCCAGAGAAGTCCCATAGGAGACTTTTCTACCATTGCATAAAACATAAAAAGAAGATTTGATTTCCTCCTGGGAAGGGTAAAGAAAATAAGTTGATTGTAGACATTTTTTAAAATAATCCTCTAAATTATAAATATAAAAATTAACTTTTATCTTATTTATAAATCTTTCCAATCTTTGTTACATATTTGTTGACATTTCCTCTCCGGATGTTTTAATGTCTTCTTTGTCCTCTTGATCCTTTACGGTTCCATGCCAAAGTTAGTCACTATATTTGGCTTTTTTTTTCACGTATGACCTATACATCTTTACCTCCATTAATTCTAAATAAAATGTTTTATTTAATGTAAATTAATTAATATATTTATGAAATTACTTTTTAGCCTGGCACTACACATAAAGTAGGTATTCTAAATGAAAATTTCATAATTAAATTCAACAATTATCCTGAATAGAGCTTGGCTTAATCAGAACAGAACCACCAATTTTAATTCTCTCTATTCAATTTTAATAAAATTATGAATTTGTAAAAACTCGGGAAAAGGGTCAAATTTTCAATGACTCGAATGTGTAGTTTTGACACCTGCTAGCTTCTAAAATAACTAAGTTGGAACTTTCATATTTTTTGCACACACAGCCAGTTATACCTTACATATAAAAATACTCAATTTCTTTCAGGGCTGTCACAAAGATGTAACTTAAAAATTTATTCACACAAAAATGAGCTGAATAACAATTTGACAAATTATGAAAAGTGAGACAAAAAGACAATTTTTAATTTTAGTTAGTTTTTAAAAAATCTTTAAAAATTAACTAAATGAATAAGAAATATTATTTTTAGATAATTTTGAAGGAAATATAAATGTTATTACTGTGACATTAACTGGCAGAGGATAAATTATAATTAACTAGAATTATCTTAACTAAGCATGGTCACACAAAATTAGAATTTTATAGAATATTTAATAAAACTCTAAAGATTTAACAAGTGAGATATCTAAAAAAATTGTTCACCATATTGTAGAAACTGATAATGTTTTGAATTAGAAATAAACACTCAGGTTAAAAAATAAAAATAATGCTTAAGAAATATTTTTTAAAGGGTACTTTCAAACCCAAAATTAAGAATTTACAATATGGTTAATTTGTATAAATGTAATATTGAAAGCTGCAATTGAGTACAGTTACTAAAAGTTGTATGACAAAGTAGATAAACATATAATATATAAGTTCATAAGTTATTTGAAGTCTCATGCCTCTATTTGCATGTCTGAATGGATCTGGAAACATTTCCTTACACTGGTGTTTCCAGACAAATCTCCACAATCCATGCATCAACATCCTGTGAATATTCCAAAGAAGATTTGTATTATCATGATTTTAACTGAACAAGCATTTATGATCATGTTATTGCTAGTAATGTCATAAATAACATCATGATTTTAATATGGGTAGTTCGGATAATAGTTAATTTAGAATTTATTATCTTGTCTTTGCTAGCAATAACAATGTAATACGGTAACATCATGATTTTATTGTAATAGTCAACTTATAATTATGATATCATTGCTAGAAATGTAATAACAAAATGCACAAATTACTGATAATTTTATTGCTACTACCACTAACCAGCACCAGTGGCTAAGTAACATGTTTTTGCTGACAGTCTGATTTGAACTAAGGGCAGTGTACTGAGCCTTCCTTTTCTTGTGTGCTGCTTTCTGTTGCAAGTTTACAAACAAGATGTTTTAAGATTCATTTATTGAAATATGAAAATTAAAACAAACATCTATAATAGAATTTAACTGCATCCTATTTGCCATATAAATACAACTAAATATATATAGTCATTAGTAGGCCAATAACTATATTATAATTATACTCAGCTCAGAAAGATTAATTTTGGTCTCTGAAATTTACAAAAGAGGGGAAGAAACATTAGGCTACTATTATTTAAAACGATATTTATTACCTAAAACAAGAATAATTAACATTACATCACTTTCTTATGCATCTTACCATATAACTTTATTTATAAAATGGATTAGCTGATAATTTCCTGTTAAAAATTCACTACACCTAAAAATAATGCAGGCCATATTCTCCCTTGGGAACTAAATACTGTGACCCAAAATAGAATGCTATACTTTGCTGGAATCGATAATAATTTGCTTGACAGTTCAATTATCAAATGCACCTTCTAAACAAATTGAATGGATACAATATAGATACCATGCCTCCATTCTCGTAAATTAAATACAGGAGACTTTAAAATAGGCTAGTAATACTAGTACATCATTCCAAGAAACAATGTATTAATCATCAATAAGCTGATGCTAAATCACTAATACATTAAAGAAATGAAGTCTTTTAAATAAATAAAAGATACCTAAGAAAGAATTGATGTTTCAACTTACCTATGGCAGTTTTTAAATCCATGGTAAAAGCACTAAGTTTGGCTAAAATGCTTATAAAAAAAACAGTCAGCAGGTAACACTCTTACTCGCTCGCTGGTTTGTGTCATAAACGGGACTTCCCAGATTGGAAAAAGTTTTATTATAAAATGGATTGGCTTTCATAAAATGTATTTTTGCGAGCTGTTAAATGATGGAAACAGCTAAAAAAATTAATTCTAAAATGAAAGTTTTTAAACATACAATTTTTCAGCTTGCAAACATGTTTATGATATATCAGAATAAAGATCAACATCAGTGACATCAGTACTTTCTAAATCCATAATTGGTGACATAATTTTTTTATTTCAAATTTTGTTTACAGACTAATTATAACTTTTTTAATTATATAAAGTTAACAATACCATGGCCGGCAGACCACAAAGGCTGGTTCAAATTTCAAATAATGTCAGGAAACATTCTACAAACTTATGACTATGACACAATAATGCCAAAATAGGCACTGTATGCTTTGATTAGTGTGGCCGGCTGAACACCATCAAATATAAAACAGCAATTCAACAGAGATAACTTTTGTTTCTCTCTTGCCACTGCATTTTTCTTTCATTTTCTTATTCTTTTTTTTTAAATGTCTTTTTCTTCAGGAAATGATGATGATGAAATGCCTGATGAAGAGGCTGATGAAGATCATGATCTTAAAAAAAATGATACATTTAACATTTAAGTCACCAATTATCTGTGCCTATTTACTATTAGTATTAGGCTAGTACTAGTAGTAGACAATTTCTAAGGAATAGTATTATATTTTATTTTTTAATTTGGGACCACCATTCTGAGGAGTGCCCAAAATACATGCCTAAAATTAGAACATTTTGTCTTGTGACATGTCAACAACCATCTGCACAGAAACACCCCCAACACACAAATCCGATGATTAAAAATGGTCATGATCGATTTTGACGAACGAACTAAAACAATTTATTTTAATAAAAAATAAATGGGTAAAGTAAATGCAAAGAATGGATGCCATGTTTTTCCCTATGGCTGCCATCTTGACTGACACGACCAGTTAATTCTGTCACTAAGACTAAATTTAAGTCATTTAGTAAAAATATTCCTATGTGCCCGAACCTGAACCCTAAATGAAAATGTATACCTAAACCTAACCTGAACCCCAAATGTATCCCTGAACCCTAATTCCCGGCAACTTTAATAAAAACGCTAATGACGCCATGGCATCCATTCTTTGCTTTACCCAAACAATGTTAACTTACGACTTACGGTAATCGTCAAGGAATGGAGAAAGGTTTGGTCTTGAGAATTGACCACAGCACTCAACAAGTCGACGACATATTTTGCTTTTCTGTTAACAACTGGGTACTTTCTAGAACAAAATATAATATCCACATGCATTTTTTTAATTATTAGTGTGTCTAGGTGGTTTTAAATTGAAGCAGTCTGAGCAAGTGAGAAATTTCGCACTCACTTAACTCATTCACTATCCAATCGACGCATAAACAAACAATACTGACTGACTTGCTTACCCTGGGCTAAATTAAGAGGAGGTTATCTAACTTAGATAAACTAAAAAAGGTACGATTTCAATGCAAAAAGTTAACTTGCTTTGATTACCTCTTAAACATTGTCTAACATTTACAAAGTTACAATTTGTATTTTTATTAATTTCGAATAGAAGTTGATATTTAAAGAAGAAATATTTGTTTAACTTAATTTCAATTATTTACTCAGTTTCTTAGCAAGGTCCAAACGGGCAATACACCAACAAAAAACAAAATTAAAAATATTCATTGATTCAACTTAAGGAATTAAATAATATAGCTTTTATATTTCCTAAATATAATCTTTTCAAAAATTTAATTTTGCCTTATAAAAACGCTTTTTATTATATATTTATTTTAGTTGTTAAATTTAAGAAATTATGTCATCAAAATAGAAGTTATTAGAACTGTAACTTGAGATATTGAGTCCAGGTATTGCAAATATCGAATTATTATTTAAATTAAAGAGGGATATACTTCAAAAAGTCAAAAAGTAATCGCGGTTTTTTATTTTAATTGTAAGTTTTATCAGTTGATAATAATCGCAAGTTTTAATATAATGATAAAAGTAGGGCCTTGTAAGTTCAAGAACTGAAAAGGTAAGTAATACTGGTAAATGTTTTAATTGTAGAAATTAAAATAAATGAAATAGAGCCTTCTTAGTTTAGGCCTTCTATTTCGACTACTAAGACTTAGTACTCACTAGGCACTAGGCCTAGGGTACCACTAACTAACTACTTTAGTCTTTAATATTTTTTTTTAGCTTAAGACTTAAGTATTGCATCTACATTTCTATTATATGCTCAGTCAATAATTTCCAGAAAAGTATCCATTCATGTCATAAGGCTCTTTGGTACTTTTAATCATACAATACAACGATAACAATGAAAAAATTAAATCATTAACTATCATTTTTTTTAAATTATATAAATAATAGATTTATAATTATATGATATTTATATAACAACTTCATTAATTAAATTTAAGTCATTTAATTTTCTAAAGATTATTAGATTATTTCTGCAATGTAAGTATGAAACAATTGTAAAAACGGACGAAAAAATCCTTAAACTTAAACCTATGATTTATTTTATTGACAATGTTGCTGTGAAATGTTGACCTTCACAATTATTTTGAGCAGATTTATATCACATTCCAAATACTTTTCCCGTTCCAATGAAAAAATCTTCATCACTCTAATTAGACTAAGACTAAGTACATGTTGGCTTTAGCCACTTTAGAGTAAAAAATATTTAAATGTATTTTTGTCCATTACAGATATGAAAACATTATACTTAAGCATGAGGAAGAACTAAACAATGTATTTAACACAACTGCTTCAAATACATGTGTACTTACTGATATCAGTTTCATCAAAAAACCTAGCCCAGAACTCAGTTCCAAAACCTGACAAGAGTAATACAAATATTCAGTCCACAATGGCTAATATAAGCACATCAAATAAGGAGGAAAGAAATAAATCTAAAGAAAATTTGCTGTGCAACAAGAATTTCAACAAAACTGTTCATGTTTGTAGTATGGCTTCCAGTCCTGGGGACTTTGGGAATTTGAGACAGAATAAGCGTGTTTTGGTGTTTAGAATAAACAAAAGAGATATTAAGCTTTTTATTAATGTTAATCAAGTAACCCTTCCAAATGCTACGGTCAAATATGATTCAAAAAATAATAGGGTACCTGTGTACCATGAAGAAATTTCAAAGCATCTCTTTTCCTTTTACTCGGGAAGTATAGCATTTTTAGATATTGCTCTTCCATTCACAGCACAATGGGATGGCTTTAAATTTTCAGGAAAAGTTGTTTATCTTAATGTTGAGTTTGAATTGCAATACAAATCAATTTGGGAAGCTAACTTTTACCAGAGAGACCACTGTTTTTACTGTCAGGCCTCATGTTCTGAGATTAAGCTTGTTGAGACTAGTAACAAGATCATCCATGATTTTGAAGATTTATTTGGATTTTCTTTTGGAAGTTCCAATGAAGTACATAGCCTATATTTCTCTGAAATAGAAACCTTAAATGAAAAATCTCGTCGGCCCCAAAGAAGTCCTGGATTTGAAACACCTTCCCCTCGCAGCTGCAACCTTCACATTGTGGCAGATCATCTGTTTCATAGGTATTATGGAGCAGGAAGTGTCACAAACACTGTAAATATGATGTTACAGTTGATAAATGATGCTGATGCAGTGTTCCGATCAACTGATTTTGATGGGGATGGTCAAGGAGATAACATTGGCTTTATTGTTGGGAAGGTGACTGTGTATAGTCTCAAAGACAAAGACTACATACTGAATCGACCTAAAGTAACTTCTGACCAGTATCTGAAACTTCTTTCTAAATCTGATTTTGGTGACGTCTGTTTGGGCGTAGCTTTCACTCGTCGCAATATGAATGGTGTTGCTGGAACTGCCTTCCCAGGCTATTCAGATGAAACCATGCCTGGGGGTATTTGTCAGCCTAGAATAAGGACATATTCTTACTACTCCAGCTTAAATGCAGCTTTTATAAACTTTTACGACCACAGCCAGAGCTCCCATGATCGTATGGTATTGGCTTTGGTACATGAACTCGCCCATAGTTTTGGAGCAATGCATGATGATTTGACTGAATGCTTCTCTGGTGGAGAGTATGGGAATTATATCATGTTCTCAAAAACCAACCCAGGAAATCAGCCAAATAACAGAAAGTTCTCAGTGTGCAGTATTAGAAGCATTCTTCCTGTTATAAGGAAGAAAGGATCCTGCTTTCTACAAGACAATGTAGTGCCACAATGTGGCAACAGCATTCCAGAAGCTGGAGAAGAATGTGATTGCGGCTTAACCATAAATTGTATGCTTATTGACCCATGCTGCACACCTGGTGATGCAGATACTGGTCCAGATTTGCCTTGCAGAATCAGAAGATCAAACAATAAACTATGCTCACCAAAAAAGCATGCTTGTTGTACCGAGAATTGCACTTATATACCTTCAAGTGCCAAGCATGATTGTAATATAATGGACGGCTGTGCTTTGTTATCCAGGTGTGATGGTAGAAGTGGTAACTGCCCCGTTAGCCATCCAAAGCCTGATGGTACATTATGTAACCTTGGCTTGGATGTCTGCAAGGAAGGAAAATGTTCGGTGGAAGTGTGCAAGTCCCTCAACTTATCTACCTGCTTATGCATAAAGGAATATGACAAATGCAAAGTGTGCTGCAAAGAACCCAAAAATGGTACATGTTTGCCATTATCTGACCTAGGAATACGATTTCCAGATGGGTCCATTATCCATCATGACATCGGAGCATCATGTATAGATGAAGGATATTGTGGTGTAACTCGTATGTGTTTCCAAAATATTGAAGCATCCAAGGGAGGCTCAAAGACGGTCTTTTTGGGATTTTCAAGTGAAAAACAATTTCGTAACCATGCCAAAAACTATTGGTTTTATTATATATTGGTGACATTATCATTCTTCTTCGTAATTATTATTTTAAGCATCTCTTACAAGACCAATGACCTGGACTTTTTAAAAGCCCTGCGATATGGGAAAATGTTGGCCATATTTGCCATGGGAGAGCACCAAACCAAAGTGTACAGAAAAATGCTCATTGACATTGACATCAACTATACTCGCAAGATTCATTATATTCAGAGGCGGTGTGAGCCGCTGGATTACACTTCGGCAGTGGCGAGGTTAATGGTACTCTTTCCCAACATATCAAGCAGTTACATATCACGGATTGTTAAGATTAGTGCAACAGAGCATATGGCAGTTAAGATTTTACTTTTGCAAGGATTTAAGATGCGAACTTTCAGAACTGGGAATTGATTTTGGGACTTGGCAATATTTGCTTCATTAATTTTTAATTTAATTTTAATCATTTGATTTTTTTTTTTCCTTGAGCTGGTGTGCACTATCCTGAACTTTAAACTTTGTAAAAGCCAAACTTGTTCAAATGAAGGTTAGCAACCTTCATGAAAAAGATCACTTAACATTTATATAATTTAATGTTCATTATTAGCATCTTTATTATACAATGAATTCCATTAAAAACATTATACGATGCCTCTCTGTATCTACGGTTCTAAAAAGTGGCATGAAAGAGATTGCGTGAGGTGCTATGAAAAGGGGTGTTTAAAAAAAAATATGCTGACATGAAACAGCAAATGAAAGATTTTTTTTTAATGAGGGATCATGGCGATTTATTTTAAAAAAGTATGTTTATCTCTAGTCATCTGGATATACGTCCGGCCTGTCCTATCCCGAGAGACATCATTTCTACTCAACCTTATTTTTGAGTCAGTGAATAAAAAGTTATAATGGGTGAATCAATATCACTTATGGCAGGTGTTAACCTTTTTTGCAGTGCCGCAGTCCCTCTTGATTTCAAAACATTTGCTGCACCCATATTTCGATTTCAAAACATATTTTCCACACCCCCCCAAAAAATTCAAATAATTAAAAAATCACTGCTTTTTTGATGTGCCGCACCACCGCGTGTACAGCACGCCTGCTTAAGAACCCCTGATTAATGGAAATAAAAATATTTTAACTACCACTTCCAGTATATTTTTTGGCTGCGACTATTCGCACCGGTAGGAAAAATCTTTACTTAAACTTACTTCTTCAGTTGAACTAAAAAAACTACCACAAATGACATCCGAATAGCATTGATCTAATGGGACCAGGGTGCGAATAGCGGTGATGTGCATCCGGGGCCCATTGACTAAATGCTGTTCGGATGTCATTTGTGGTAGTTTATTTTAGTTAAACTGAAGAAGTCAGTTTAGAAACATATAGTCCATTCAATTATCTTTCATTTGATACCTCATTTTGTCTTACAAACCCAACCATAATATTTTAAATAGTTTTTTAATCCCAACCTCTCACTTCTGGTACCAGGGTGCTAATAGCCACTTCGATTTTATTTGGGTTTATTTGCACAATAGCTATTTATGTAACCCATAACTTCCTTTAAGGTTTCTAAAAAAAATTTGTGTCCCCTTCAATTTTTTTTTCTTTGCATTTAAGTTATAAATTTGCCTCATTAACATTTTTTCAAAAATAGTTTTGCTATGTAAAGTTTTTATATTAAAATCATAATTTTTAAAATGTGCTGTTTTTTCATTTTTGTGGTCTTTCGCGTCCAACTGCTGTGCAAAGATTTTTCCTGCCATTTTTATTTTCAATCAGATCACCTTGGAGTATCCTCTTAGTCATTACTAAATTAGATAATTTGCCAACAGCAGTGGGTTTTCAAATTAAAAATTATAACATAACTTCCTCTTTTCTTTAATGTAATGAAACTTCAAAAGTCAAGAAGAATCATGTATTTTGATCTCTTTTGTTACCTATTGCCTTGTAAAACCATGTTTTATTTTCTACTGTAAGTTTACAAAACATTCAGAGGCCCAAAATTCAAGCTTTGCCACTTCTTTCATTTTATACAAAAATAAAACTCACTCAATACTTAAACACTGTGTGGAGTTTACATTTACTAACCATGATTAGTAAAACCTTATCGTAATTAGAAGTTTGTACATCTATTTTCCCCACATTTTCTTAAAATGCCTTAAAACTTTTTGATTTAAAAACAAATTAAAGCTATTTATTGAATGTTAAATTTACAGATATCTCAAAATTTTTCTTTAGATTAAGATACCGGTAAGATGTATTGGGTATTTCCATTATTAATACATTTGATTCTCAAATATTGTTTTTCAACTTAAACGCAGATTTTCTACAAAAAATTTGCTATTTAATGTTTTTTCATAATTATTAAATAATATTTTTTGTTTTAGTTTTAACATTAATTTGGTGATAAAGGATGAGTTACTTAAGTATTTTAATATTTTTAATGAGCTTTTAACTTTAAATCTAAATAAAAAAAGACATCCAATTGTGATATACAAAATGTCATTCGAAACTTGGAAATACAATTATAAAATAAAACTATTGCAAAACAAAAAATTTAAGGTGCATTTATATCTATGAGTGTCCACCCATATAAAATATTCAGATTTACATAAACATACTTGGTTATAAGTTCATACACATTTTGAAGGAATAAAATAAAAATCATACACTGGATTCAAAGCATTTATGAAATTTATGAACCTTTAATTTATTTAAAGCATGAAATTATATTTAAATATATTTGGTCAACAACAAAAAAATCATATTTGCAAACCATTAATCAACCCATACTTTCATCCTCCAATATCTGTTGCTCCACAAACATCACGTGGTTAAGGATGTTTAATGGAAACCGGATCAAATTATTTTTATAATCTAATAAATAGGGGGTAAAAAATAATAAAATAATAAACCAATACCTGGTAGTAAATGTATTTTTTGGGTATTTTATAAGTATCTTTTTTTTTTAAATGCTGTATAATGCATTAAGTTGGTAGGCACTCTCTATCAATAGCTGACTGATGTTAAAAACCAGACATGAATGGATTTTTTTAGGGGCAAAAGTGGTCACGTATTATTGCAAGTGCTTATTGCACAATAGATGTTAACAAGATTGGTAGATCAGTCTCCCAACATTTTTGTGCCCCCTACACCCCCAAACCAAGACATTACAATGTAAAGAGAGTACATAAAGAGAAAAGATTTTAAAAGCATATGAAATTTACCAAAAATGGTTAAAGCCAGTGCTGTCACTACTTATTCTTACCTATCAGTCTTTAAGTACCGGTATTATAAATGAAGTACACCCAGAAGGAATGGAACTAAGTAAAATTAAGGTAAGACCATCCTAAGGTGCAATGTCATTATATAGTCTTGGAGGACAAACAAGATACTGTTAAAGGGCACAAACATTATTAATCTAAAATAACTACTAAATAATATGAATAAAGAAAGTAATATTTGTACAAATGCTGCCATTCAAAGAAGTGTCCATTGTGGGTATGTTAATAATGATGAAGAGGCAACAAAATATCAAATGGCAACAATATCTCAATTAACTTATTGTCTCTTTAGATACAGAATATTAATTTTATAATAGAAAAATTATGATTGAAAGGGAAACTAATATGTCTGACGTGTATTCATATAGTTATGAGTTAACCAATGACATGTACATCTTGTACCAAGTGTTCATACCAATTAAAGTGTACATTATGTGCAGCGTAAATTATTATTACAGTGTGAATTTAACTGCCAAACTGAAACCTCTTACCAACAGAAACATCCACAACTGAGACTAAACATAACATTTAAAAATAAGCATATCATATTTACATAACTTTTTAAACATATTTTTTTTTACACACTTTAAGATGGCCTCATTTAGATTGAAACTTGTGCAATTTTTGGCATAAATGGGACATAGAATGATAGCATGTCACTGAAATAGCTTCCATCATTGTCACCTCCACCAAAGACTATAATTTCATCCTCCTCCTGGTTCTCATAATTAGAAGGTAAACGTAAGCAACCATGTCCAGCTCTGGCAGACGGAGCATTTTCTAGAACTAGCTGTTGCCAGGTTTTATTTTCTGAAAAATCATTAACCACTGTATTAAAATAAAGAGCTTTGATAGTCATTTGTTAATTATATTATTATTAATATAAGTCAGTTAGTAAAAATACCTTTATAGCAGGTTGTTAAAATAATATTTAAATGCTTATTTTTGTGCAACCAGTTATATTCATAATGTTAAAATTTTCCAACAGTTGTTTAAATATTTTAGTCCCATAGTTTCCACAATCACCCAAGGTGCCCAGTAATTAACATCCCAAAAATTATCAAGTGTGACATTAAATTATGGACTGATGTCACAATGAAATTGGTTTGGGTTTTCTTTTGTTTTTCCTTTTCGTCAATTTCTTTTGAAACATCTTGTAGAACATTCGAAGTCAAATCCCCATTTTATATACAAATATTTTGTTATGCCTTTTTTAAATTTAAAAACTATTCCAACCACACTTAAGGCGTATAATTTTATCATTTTATTTTTGCACATGATTGCAGTGTAGAAAAGAGCTAAATACATCAATATTTAAATTTTTTAAATGGCTCCCTCAGCAATAATACAGTTATGGGTCAAACTCCGGACCTAAATAAATATCCATACAATAAATGTTATGAAACTTATTTACCTAAATTAAAAATATGCCCATCAAAGAGAGCATTATCACCATCATACCCCCCATGGATGAAGATGCGGTCATTTGTTAACACACATGAGGCATGCCAGCTGGAAATAAAATAGAATAGGTATTTTTAATGTTAAGTTACAAAGGCAATGAATATTGCAATTGTGTTAAAAATCTTTTTTTTTTTTATTATTCAGCAAAATTATATACAATTTGTAAAAGAAATAGGTATTTTTGAATAAGATTCAAAACAATTTATTACAGTGACCTAAAATAAATTTCAATGACAATGTGAAAGATAAATAACATATCCTTTTACCTTCTTGGCTTGGGTGGCTGACCAGTGACTTTGGGTGAAGACCAGTCAACAGTTGCTGAAATAAATATAAATAATGTTTTTAACTGTAAGACAATCCATTCCCAGCATTATTAAAAAATATGGTACATAATAGTTAGATGTGAACAGGCTATGTGGATTGCAATATAACGTAATTGTTTACTCTATTAAAAGTTAAATTGTAATAATTGTGGCACATAGTATGTCATCTAAAGGTCAGGCCCCTGCGTTATAGCCACAGAACAATTTCAGAGTTAAAAACTCCTTTCTTCCAGCTCCTAAAGAGCTGATGTGTTGTGAGAATTCAATTACATAATGCAGTGAAACCGTTTAGATTCCTGTGTTTAATCTCTTGGTATGCATCTGGGTTGAAAATTTATAAAAAATAAGTATATCCAAATAAAAGCTCACCCCTACATCACTTACAACACAACAATCATTTCACACACTCTTTATTTCCCTCACTTTGTTTTTATTCAACACACTGCCACGGTCATATGTGGCTGACAAAATTTGTGGAATTAAAGGGGAACAAAATTAAGAAAAAAAAACAACACTCACTCACTCACAACCAGACCTAGAACAACATGAAGCGATCTGACCGTGACAATAATTAAGACTAAGCAAAATTAAAGTTAAACCTCTTCATAATTCAAAACAACCTTGACTAATTCAGCTAAGAAAAAGACAAACTCAAAAGCTATCCATAAATTTCTTTTGAAATCTAAATTTGGTATGAATATTTATCATTAAGATGGCAAATTGTGCAGAAAATAAACCACCCAACATGCAAAAATAAATAAATATAAAAAGGTAAACTTTCAAGACCAAATAGTAATTAATACTTATTTTAAATTTTGCAAGAGAAATTTGAAACTAAACGATATAAATGAATCACGTAGGTAGATGGCATTGACAAAGAGGGAGATTGGTGGTAAAGTCTTGTAAAATGACACTATTTAAATACTTACTAAGGTCCAAAATAAAAAGATCATTGTAGCAGTACGGAAAATCCCAGCCTCCAAAAATAACAAGCTGGTCATTGAGCAATGTTGCAGAGTGTCTGTAGATATATAAATATATTTTTCTAATAAAATATAGCTAGAAGCAATCAATATATATATTTTTAATTCTCATAGTAGATTCATCAAAACAAAATTTTTCAATCAGTGACTACATTAACAAAAATTTTAGTAACGGTGTAAACAAAAAATAACAGTTTAACAAGTTAACTTTTTAAAATAGATTTTAATGTGCTGCAATTCAAATTCTATTATTCCAAGAATATATTTCATCTGCATACTGCAATGTATATTTAAATATAAAATTAAAGATTTATAGGTGTGTACTCAATATTGCAACTAGTTTTAAAATTCTTAAATTCTTAAATCTTGTTGAGCATGACAAAGGGGAGACAGACAAAACGAAAGTTTCTAGTAGCATTGTTTATCACAGACACACACAAAAAAATAATTGACAAAAACATCCAAAAGATAAATATTTAATAATCATAATAATAAAGTTTATTTAAAAAACACACTTCATCCCCAAAGGCTCGAAGCGCGGATCAAAGTCAAAAAAAAAAGAAAACTATAATGTACCACATTTAAAACAAACGCAACACTACAAAACTAATTCCAAGCATACCAAGTCACCCTAAGCAACACAGCCAAAAGGCATTAACTGGAAAATATGGTAGACAATCATCCCAGAAGGTGTTTGCGAAATAGATGTGTCTTTAAATCGGTTTTAAAGAACTCCAGTGTCTGGTTGTTTCTAATATCGACAGGAAGGGCGTTCCAAATTGTTGGGCCAGCAAATGCGAAAGTGGGATTTCCGTAAGTCTCAAGACGAACACGTGGTGTCGAGAGTTTGCTACTATCGGATGAGCGGAGTTGTCTAATGGGTACATAAGGCGTCAGCAGCTCTTGCAGATTTATACAGTGGAACCTCTCATAACGAGCACCTCTCATAACGAGTGACATTTCGCATAACGAGTTATGCAGAAAGGGAAAGTCCCTTTTTCCCGACATTCATTTGTGAGCCGGAACTTCCGCGCCGATGCATTAGTCTGTGTTTAGCACTCTGCATGTTAGCGCATTGTTTTCATGTGTGATCACCAGTTTTTATAAATTTTGTATTCAGACAGTATTCGTAACTTTTTTATGTGCATAGTGTAATAACCTGAGCAAAAATGTCTTTGAAGAAAAAAAACACAACAAGGCAATCATAAGAGAGAAAAATATGTTAAAATGAAGCGTAAAAATCATAGAAAAGTGAGAACAAGGTGTGAGCGTGGCTAATCTAGCGCGCACATACAATCTGTCAACATCAACGATCTGCACTATTCTCAAGAACAAAAACCAAATTAAGGAGATGGATGCTTTAAAGGGAGTGTCAAGAATGTCCACGAAAAGGTTACATATTCTTGATGATGTTGAGAGGTCGCTTCTACCATGGATAAACGAGAAGCGATTACAAGGCGACACTATTAACGAAAACATTATTTGTGAGAAGGTGAAACTTATTTTCGCTGACCTCGTTAAGAAAACACCAGAATCATCTACTGCCGAAAAAGAACTACAATTCAAGGGAAGTCATGGATGGATCGAGAAGTTTAAGAGAAGAACCGGCATCCACAGCGTTGTGAGGCATGGTGAAGCAGCAAGATCTGACACAAAAGCAGCAGAGAACTTCATCAGTGACTTCAAGAAGCTCAAAGATCTTGGGGGTTACCTGCCCCAACAAGTTTTTAATTGTGACGAGACGGGTCTCTTCTGGAAAAAAATGCCAAAGCGAACCTATATAACAGCAGAAGAGAATGCATTGCCAGGCCACAAGCCAATCCGTCTAACGCTGCTATTTTGTGCCAATGCAAGCAGCGATTTGAAAATTAAGCCGCTGCTTGTTTACCATTCAGAAACACCATGAGCCTTTAAGATGTCCAGAAGAGCAGACTAAATGTGATGTAGAGATCCAACAAGAAGGCCTGGGTGACATTTTCACTGATTGGATCAATGAAGTGTTTGGTCCTTCCGTAAAAAAATATTTGCTTGAGATGAATCTTCCTCTCCCTGTCTTGCTTGTTATGGACAATGCGCCCGCCCATCCTCCAGGCCTACAAGATGATATTCATGAAGAATTTAATTTCATCAAAATCCAGTTTCTGCCTCCCAACACCACTCCATTACTCCAGCCTATTTCTAACTTTAAAAAACTCTAAATTAAAACACTCTTCAAGCATTGTTTTGAAGTTACCGAAGAGACAAATCTCACTCTTAGAGTTTTGGAAAGATAATTTTCAAATCGTTGCTTGCCTCAAGATGATTGACAAGGCTTGGGAAGGCGTTACCAAGAGGACCCTCACTTCTACTTGGAAAAAACTTTGGCCCGAGAGTGTTGTTGAATGTGATTTTGAAACAGTACCTGTGGAGTCTACAGTTTACGAGATTGTGTCATTGGCCAATATCATGGGACGCGAGGTGGACAACAACAATATTGAAGAACTTTTAAAAGAGCACAGTCAAGAGTTGACCGCCGAAGAGCTTATGGAGTTGCATCATGTTTCACAGCAAGAAATTATGGAGGAGAGCTCATTAATGGAGGAGGAAGTAGCAGAGCAACAATCTTCTCGCGCAATAAGAGAAATGCTGAAAGCATGGGAAACTGTTGCATGGTACATTGAGAAGCATCACCCTAATAAGGCGGTGGCTATTCGGGCTACAAATTAATTCAATGATAATGATGTGATACATTTTCTTCAAATTTTGAAGCGTCTGCAAAAACAAATGTCTTTAGACAGTTTTCTAGTTAAAAAGGAAAAAATTTTCAGCATGGAACGCATTATCGTATTTTACATTGATTTTTATGGGAAAAATTGTTTCATTTAACGAGTGTTTCACTTAACGAGTAAGATTCTGGAACGAATTATGCACGTTATGAGAGGTTCCACTGTACTAGAACATACACATTTCTTTAAGTTTAAGCAAAGATAGAACAATGAACTTACCCAGACCGAGGCTGTGGTTTATCTCCAGTCACTATAGGTTTGTACCAGCTCTCCATGATTGGGCTGAAAATGTGTATTTCATTGTCACAGCCGTCAGGCTGAGGATCAGGTCTTGGGAATACACCTCCAAATATCCACAGTTCATGTCTATACAAGGTAGCACTATGGTAGGCTCTGGTAGGTGCCTTGCCATTAGCCTGTGGGGTGTTAAATATATGAGATTGTAACATAACAACTTAAATAAGACAAAAGGATATATGAGTTGAAAACAAAAACCACATTAATTAAAAAAAAATCAAACCAAATTCAAAGCATATTGATATTTTTTTTTAAAATCTATGCCAATCCTGATTTTCACTGTAAATTTCCTGACCAATTTGCAAAAAAAAAAAAAAATAATGAAAGTTTCTTCTTTTTTTAACCAGACTTAATATAAAGTAAATCTACATAAATTATTATTTTTTTTAACACAAACTTTGACCAGGCTCCATTTAAAAAAAACCAAATTAATTAAAAAAAAATCAAACCAAATTCAAATAATATTGATATTTTTTTTTAAAATCTATGCCAATCCTGATTTTCACTGTAAATTTCCTGACCAATTTGCAAAAAAAAAAAAAAAATAATGAAAGTTTCTTCTTTTTTTAACCAGACTTAATATAAAGTAAATCTACATAAATTATTATTTTTTTTAACACAAACTTTGACCAGGCTCCATTTCTTTTCATCGAGATCAAACATATGCACATCATGAAACCACTTTGTGTTTTTGGAACCACCATAGATGTATATGCATCGCATTGTTGGGTCAAAGGTGGCACTATGACCAATTCTGTACTCTGGTTTTGCTCCCTCTGTAATTATTTCAGGACATTTCCAGGTCCTCATTTCTGAAAGAACATTTGAGATTTGAAATCAAGGTACCATTAAAAATTCCTTAAATTTAAAAAGTTTAAAATAAAATTAAAATAAATATTTTTTAAAAACAAAATATAATATACTATATCAGACCTGTTTACCCTCAAACTCTTAAATCTTACAATATCATCAGACAATCGTTCAATACCTTATATTTATAGTAAAAAATCAACAAAGTATATATAATGTTTACACCCCAAAATCGTACACTGGACGCCTAAATCTTAAGGTCTGCTACATGCATGATTTTACAGAAGGAATTGATTACAGGTCATGCAAAAATGCTTATACTCAACACTGATTCTTCCACCAGCTTAGTGTCATAAAAAAAACTTAATTCAGATATAATTATTTCCACACATTAGGACAAATTTATTTAAAGCTCAGCAGAAAACCATGATGAGAAGCAACAGTGTCATGACAAAAAATGATGGCCTTTACTACATATTAAAATAGGGCACAATATGAGCTATTCATATTTTGCTGCAAGGTTTTTTCAATTTTTGTCTCTGATTCAAAATATTTTCCTGGTCAGCATTTTGTGAAATAAAATGAATTTATGAAATCACATTGCATTTTTCAAATAGCACAATCATTTAATTACAACTGGTTTCTGCCATTCAAAACAATTTCCACAATATTTTCTAATCATAATTTCAGATAACTTTTACAGATAATTCAAAATAAACTTCAAAAATGAAAATGGAAACAAGTACCTGGGTCCAGGAACCAGATAGAATCTCGACTAAGCTGTTTGTCTCCTTGACCACCAATTAGTACTGCCTGTCTGTTGTTGACAAATGTCATAGTGTGTCCCCATCTGTTACTGGGTTTTGGAGCTGACATTTTTTTTAATGGATTAAGTTCTTCATTAGGGTGTAATTATAACTAAGAGTATTAATTTTTTTAAAAGACATAGCTGTGCCAGAAGTACATTTCTAACACAAAAGGTCTCCAAAAAACAAGACATAAAATACTTAGTCTTGGGGATGTACAAAAAGCTTAATTTAATAATGCTGTCGTGAATGTTACTAAAAGAAATAATTAGAGACAGTAAAAAAAGAAAATTTAAATAGTAAAAAGCCTAACCTCTTGCAGACAAATCCACACATCTAGTTATCCTGCCCTCATGACCTGGTGCTTGAGCTCCCTGGTTCGCCAACTCAGAACTGACCATGTTAAACGCCTGGACCAGCTTCTGTTTAGATGGGGGTGTCTTCTCTGTGGCTAGTGCTCTCATTGCTACCTTCTGCCTCCTGGAATTCAGTGTTGGTGTATTTTCATCATGCTTTCTTTTTTTTGTTTGCTTGGTTGGCAAAGGTGATTTTGATTGACTAAGCATTACCTAAATAAAAAAAAAAAACAATTACCATGATTACTTGTACTTTTTATGACACAATGGTTTGATGATCAAGTTATAATCTATAGACAAGTTCATATTAATCAAATGAAAATGTTAACAATGCTCAATCCAAGTATATGTTAGGATAAAAGTTGTAAAATAAAAAGCCTACAGATAGTAAGTAACCTGTAATACTAGGCATTAACAAACAAAAGAGTCCCATGGAAGTTGGAAGCCTACTGACCATTATCCCCTGCTGGCGAGGGAATTGATCGTATCGCAAACACCAATTAAATAGTCTGGTCAAGAAAGCAAGTAATAGAACTCTAAACCTATCAATGGTTGATGGAGTATATAAATAAAAATGCATTTGAAAAGCTAAAAATATTTTGGAGGATTCAGTTAACACCATAAATCAGTTACTTGGGATCAGCATCATCGGGGGGAATAGCTTTCCCTTAAAGTAAGTAATGACAGAAAAATATAATAAATCTTTTGTGGCTAATTTGTTAAAATTAGCCAGCGTGCCGCCAGGACTTTCAGAAAATTGTTTAAATCATTATAGAAGTGAGTGAGATGTGATGACAAATTTTTGTGTTTTAAAAATTATTTAAAATATCTTACAGTAAAATTATTTTTATCAGGATGATTACTGATTCTGTCTATGTTTTTATTTAATATGCTTAAAATGGATTTGATATTTATTTGGATTAATAAAAAATCTTATCTTATAAATCCAAGTGGAACTTAGTCTTTTTAGACCTTTTTTAAATCACCTCAAATGTAATTTTTACTGAAATTCATCTATTTATTAGAAAATCTTTATAAAAAATTCTGTTATATACTTCTGGTGTAGTCTCGTTTTCTTTTTGAATATCTGTGCGATCTAATGTACTGGTCATCAGAGGACTAGATGGAAGACTGCATGTATTGCTTTCTGGACACTCTCTCGGGACCTCAGGATTAATGAGCCTTGCTTCTAGAGTTATATTTTTTCTAGAGCTGAGATTGAATGAGTTAGGATCACTCAGCTTTGTCCACTGGTAACACCTGTTGCAAGAACAGACATCCACAATGAATCGATAAAAGGGTACTTTTAAAAAGTCTTCAGTTGACATATGGCAAAAAAACCAGCCTAAAACAAAAATTTAACATGCAACTAGTGGTGATCAGATAACTATTCAATGTTGCACCATCAATATCTCTTACCTCAGACGCATACAGAGCCTCATAGCTTGTCCTCATTTGTGCTATTTACAACATTAAACAAAACCTGATCGCCTAGCCTGGCTAGTTTGAAATAAAGGAGGAAACAAGCCTGCAAAGCATAGCTGCTTACATCTTTTTCCCTATGAACCATGATCTGTTCCAATATATTAACATATGAGCTCAAATAAGTGAAATAAAATGTAGTGATTTGTTTTCTGCTCTATTAGATTCCTCAAAGCAGAACCCATTGAAAAATTAACTTAAGTAAACTTGTTTACATTCTAACATTGTCAGTCAAGTCGCCAATCACTGCTTAAATATCCTTGTTTAAGGTTAACCTAAAGCAGTGATTTGCTCAGCAACCTGGGCTTCAGAGCAACATATGACTCTTGAAAGGAATAGATGCAAGCATTTATTTTACATTGGCAGACATAAGTGAATTGTTTAATCACAATGTTTTTTTAAACCCCCATTTACTCATTCAAATAGCCGCAGGACTACTGAAATTGGACAATGTCCATAAGACTGCTATATTAATCAATTCATAAGTGAGAACAGTGTTTCTCAGCATATATCTTGGGGCCAGGAAGACATTGAAAATAAATGTGTTTTTTAATATTAAAAACAAAGAAGTGGCGCCAGGGAGGAAACTTTTTAGAAATGCCGAACTACAAATACAATAAACAACGCTCCTGATAAAAAATTGTAGCTAAATTTATTTACCTTCAAACAAAAAAGTTTAAAAACTAAAACTCCCTTCAAAACTAAGTCACTTACATTGGTCTTATAACCCTCTACCTCCAAATCAGGAAATACTTTTCAAGTTAAGGGATATATTAAGATCCTGAGGTAATTATTAAACTATTTCAAATTTATTTCTACATTAATTACCTTTGGGAATTAGTCAAAGTGCAGAGTCTGTGACCATTTTTTCCACTGTTAACTAAAATATCAATGCTGATATTTGTGGTATCTTCCCAATGTCCTTGTGTGAAAATGACCAGCTGGTCAACTTTTGAGCCTTTTGGGATGCTACATGTGAATTTACTTTCCGCATTATCTGGTTGAAATCTGCAAATGATTACATCATTTAATAAATAAAAGCATTGATTCCTATAGTATAGAATACCAATGAGTAATAAAACATAATTTTTAAAAATTAACCTCATTAAACAGGAAAAACTATTTTTAGAAATGGGTTAAGCAAATAATAGGGATCAACCAGGTAGACCTTTTCCACCATGTACCAACAAATTTAAGTACATTGGAATACCATTTTCCCAATCCAGGTACGGAGCGGAGAACTGTTTTTATTTTTTAATATACACATTATTCATGATGAACATAATCTTTCTATCAGTCTATCCTACGTCAGTTGGCTAAAACTCTGAGATGCTGCTTTTTCTGTTGTTTTTTTTCACTTGTCTGGGTTTTGCTGAAGCTTGAAATCCATCCATTAACATTAGTTTGAAATTGACACGATTTAGATATCACAGACATTCAACCACCCATTTTTATAAGCAAGTTTATTGAATAACTTTAAAATATAGATCTTCAAATATTTGCATGCTGCATGATTAGTATTTGCAGAGGCTGATTTTATTTGAAGCTGCAAACACTTGGGGGAAAAAAAATAATATTTTCAAGGGCAAATGTCCAAAGCAATTTCAGGTTGTTTCCTAGTAATTAAGCTTTTAATGCAACCAATAAATTACAGAACTTGACAATATTGTATATTTAACACCAACATCTAGTCTAAAGTTCAGGTTCTTTTACAAAATTTGGGTTGAAAAATTGGTGGTGGGATAACACACAATTCTTAGATCCCAATTAAACTAAAATCATATTTTATTTATCCCAGTGGTTCCCAATCTTTTTAAATTTATTTAAGGCTCTTAAATGTTATCAAATGAGTAACCAATTAGATAGATATGATAATGATGTGTAAGTGTAAGTAAGACTTATTGATATTGACTAGGGATAACAATACTTGTTCACGCACCGTTCTGCGCATGTCCTAAAATGTCGAAAAAACATGTTCTACAATATGGTGTACGGCCACACGGTATCTTTGGAAAATTGCATACTACTGTCACCTTTGTTTATTAAATAATGCTTTCCTCATCAGTGACGTATCAGTTTTTGCGTTCCGGTGATATATTGATTTATAATACGAGGTTTTTTTGTTTTTTTTTGTGTCACGGACAGGAACATCGTAACCATTCGGTAAGTTTATCACATAATACTTTTTTGTTATTTATGGATTTAGAAAGATGTTTAGCGCTTTAGAAACTACATTCATTCGTGAGTATTAACATATTTAAATGATTAAAATCGGCGTTCTCCTTGAAAAGTTATGCCTCCCCCTAAAGTGTAGGTGGGGGTATGAAAATGTCGCTGAATCGAAAGTTAATTTTATGCGATCGAGTTACCGGATATTGCTATTATTACTGTCAATTATGCAGTGATCCTTTTTTGTTTAATCCCTAATCATCTGAATAATTCTAATACGTTTTAAATGAATACTTTTTAAAAAAATATAAATAAGGAAAGATTTTAACCAAACTTGAAAAGTTTTGGGTCTATGGATTGCTTTTTAGTTTATAAATTACATAATTACAGTTAAATTTAAATAGTTTTGTTCACCGGGTACCAAATTTATCCGTTCTAGTTCTACCACCGTTCTTCATTATTAAATGAATAATTAATTGTTAAATAATAGTAATAATAATAATAATTGTTATTCTCTTATAAATTACTATTCATATGGGAGAATATTGCAAAAATTAGGCATACAATAACTGCTATTTTATCGGTAATCCTATTAAGTCTATTTAGGCCTAGTATCTAAATTTAGGCTAATAAATACTAATATTTAAAACACATTTGCAGTTGCAAGCCTAATTTAATTAAAGTTAGTAATTTTTAAATTTAATTATGAATTTTAAATTATTGTTAAGTTAATATAGCATTCTGATACTACATCATCATCATAGAAATAATTTTTTTTAATTAGAATTAGGACATAGAAAAGCAGTTTACATAAACAATTATTTAATATATCAAATTACAATAAATTTAATATTAAAAAAAAAGAAATGAGTTTTAATCACCACATAAAATGAATATTATTAAAAAGAAACAAGAAATTGTGAATATTGAGGATTATGATTAGATGTTATTTTTAGTCGTCTTTCAGGTACAAGGGAAAATTTTTAATTTTCGATTGAAGTTGAAGAGAAGATTTTTGTGGAATTTATTCCACTTCCATCAACAGTAAGGCATATATGGACGAGGATGGCTAAGATGGGTGCTGGGTGGCCGAGCGGTCTAAACTGTCTCAAACCAAATAGCAGTGGCGCCAGTGGTCCGGAGTTCAATCCCCATTAAAGCCAACATCCCCAGCACCCCGGGTGGATGGGACTCGTTAGCCTTGGACGGCAACCCATCTAAGAGAAGGCAAACTCTGAATTAAAACCAGGAGCCATAATGATCAACAAATTGATCGTGGGCCCCTCAAATATAAGAAGAAGAAGTCTCAAGACAAAGTTTATGAAGGAGAAATTTTGTGATTCATCAACAAGACCAAGAAGTCTGTAAACTTTACATTAAAGGAGTCTACATAGAAAATAATAGGCAGAACAGCCCCATTCCCTTTTAAAATTTAATCACATACCTGTATGCTCATATATTAGTGTCGTGGTGGTTGATTTGAATAGTTTTTATAATTTCATGCATTTAATTTTGTAGTAAAAAAGACTTCTACTTACCTTTTATAAAGATAAGAATTTATTTACAATATAACTGAATCATAAATTTAGTTTAAATACAATCAACATGTAATTTCTTTTGTTTTTGCCTTTACAATTAATAATTTTTCCAAATTTTTTGACACATGATTTTCTCAACATACCTGGAATAAAATTATCCAAAATAAAAAGTCTTGATGTAATGTAAAATTTATATTGTTCATTGTGTTGGTTATTAGATTAGGAATGTCACCTGAAAATTTGGTGCAATTATCTTTAAAAATAAAAATGTTGTGGGCAAAATTATGCAGAAATGTGAAATTTGGGTCACACGTTTTGGGGGTAAAATATATAGATTATATAAGGGGCAAAAAAATTTGACTAAAAAAATCATAACTCCACTTCTATAAAAGATAGAAAGATGAAATTGGTGTTGTTGTAAAGCTTACAACTAGCCCTTTAAAATGATGTATCATTCATGGCAATCAGACAATATTTAAATTTTGTGTCAAAGTACCTATATTGACATCAATCATAATTCTTAAAACAGTAGCATTTACAAGCCCCCCCTCCCTTCACATTCCCAAAACTGTCTTTATATTAATATAATTTTAGGCTAATCCTAGTTATGATTGACACGACTTATTTTCCAATGAGTGAATTCCCTTTATTTTTACTAAATTATTTTTTTAGGGATCGATTTAGGGTTCAGGTTAGGCATAGAGATCGATTTAGGGTTTCAGGTTAGGCATAGGGATCAATTTAGGGTTCAGGTTAGGCATAGGGATAGATGACTTCTCGTGACATGTTGACCAAGATGGCGGCCATTGAGAAAATAGTGGCAATCGTAATCAAAATTTACCTAATTTTATAATAACTTTTCAATATTTTAAATATTCAATATGTTTAATGTAACTATAGGCCCCTTGGGCTTAGGCGCCACTTAGGCCTACTGCCGTAGTTAGTACAATTTATCAATGGCTTATTTTTATAATCTTAAATAGTAATCCTGCTGCAGAGCTGAAGTCAGATGAGCTGGGCAGCTGGGAAAAGTTGTGGAAAAAAATTCATAAGTTTTGCTAGGTAAAAGTAAAATATCAAAGGAAATAAAGTCACAGAAAAACTTTTAATTTTTAGCCTTAATTTTATTTGTGCCATATAGTATAGCCATATAAATCAAATATAACTAACTGTTTAGGCCTTTTTCCTCCTGTTAGACTAACTAGTATTAGTATTAGTAGTATGATTATGCTCATACTCATAATTATGAGCAATGATTATGATTGAATGGGACTATGTCTCAATAAGTATAAATAAGTAGGCTGTAGGTGGTAGGCCCTATATACTATAATATGAGGAGTATCATAAACATAAATTTTATTACTCAAAACATTCCTAGCAGCCTTCCATTTTTATTTACCATGTGACATGTCATGAGATCTGATAAGTTACCAGTTACACTAATTACTAATTAGTTGAATTACTAATCAGTCTAATTCTAATCAATAGCATAAAGCTAAGTACTAAGTTAATTTAAAGTTAAGTTTATTTTATGAGTGAGGTGGTTGAATAATCATTAAATTAACACTCATTTAATTTATTAATCTTAAATTCATGGTTTCATACGTCATACAGTCTATACGTCATGGTCTATTATCTATAAAAATAAAATAAATTTAATTTGCTATTCTATAATCTACTACTACTACTATGTCTATAGTGACCCTATCTACAGTATACAGTCTAGTCTACAGTAATAGTAATAGTAGGCCCTATTATTACTATACTTATACTATTAGTATTAGTCTAACCCACATTCACATCATTATTACAAAGGGCTACGACTCACTCTTTTTCAAAAGTCAGCGGCGCACATTTAGAATCATGTAAACATAACAGCTCAAGATTCAAGTGAGAACTCATCACGAATATTCAGTCGCAGTCACGACAGTCACGGATAAACACTGCAAATTTCAGAGGTAAATCTGCAAAAACGTCAGTATTCATAAGTGGCGCGGAAATATTCAACCAAAACATATTATTCAAGCCTTATGAGAAATATCGATACTAAATTTAACAAGTGTCAGAAACCACCCACACATATCACATTGACAAAAGTTTACATAAACGATCCAATGACAACTTAAAGACAAAGGCTATGACAGATACAAAGAGAGAATTATTGAACCAGATAGTGATTAAACCAACGAAACCTTGATTGTGATTGTTTATGTCAAATATTTCTTTTTTAAAGAATTAAATAGAAAAACTATTAAAACTATAGAAAAAATTAAATAGAAATAATCTAATGTATATAATATTACAATTAATTCCAATGATTCCAAGATTTGATCTTAAATAAACCCCTAAAAAATAATATAATATAGGCATGGGACATTAAATTAGAGGAGAAGATCATCACCCACTGTAGTTGTAGAGCTTATTTTTATTCAAAGGCAAATAGGGTCAACTTTTTTTTTATTTTAGTTCTTTTATTCGTTTAATATTGGTGTAAAAATTGTATTTCATAATAAATGTTGCAAAATATTTACTAAGAAATAAATACCTGTACTAAGGCCTGTACTAAAGCCTGTACCTACATTCAGACGTTGTTGTTTTTTTTTTTTGGGGGGGGGGGGGGGGGGTTTTGGGGGGGTTCCCCCCCCCCCCCCCCCCCCCAAGATTTGCTCCTGGTAAAATGTAAATTTATCTACTGTTTCTTTTAACGTTTTCACTTGTACTTTATCAATTTTATTAAAAGCGTAACCGTCATTTTTACCCTATTACTCATATTTTATTATTAACTGCATTGCATGGTGCATCTATAATAAATAGAGGTTAAAACGATTTATTTGTTAACATAAAAGCCCGGGCCCTTTGCTGCACTTCGGAAGCATTTTAACCCCTATTCCCCACCTTAATATCTTTAACAACGGTACCACATTCCTTTTTTTTTTCTTTTTTTAATTTTATTTTTGTCTCTGGTTCTGAGCCTCCAAGCAGAAACTATTAATGGCCATTATATTATTAAATTACATTTCATTGTGGACGATATCGATATCATGAAGATTGTTAAGCTAATGGTTCTTTTTTTATGAAGTATTTTACAAACTGGCAATTTGAGTAAATATTTTAAATGTTTTATGCCTGAACCAATTGGCTGTTAGAAGCCATATATTTTCTTGTGATGTTAATATTTTATGATCTGAGTTGCATACACTTCCATTCTACTTGGATACTTGTACCTAGCGACAAGTGGACGAGGGCAGAAAATTTGGTAATCGGAAACTACACTTAAAAAATATTCTGTCTTACCTGTAACTGTAAGCAGGTAGAAAAATCAAGTGTTCAAAATGGTTGTAAAGATTCACGTTGTATATTGGTGAGTTCATACAAATTAATTTGATGAAAAGACTCTGAATTCTGAATCATGAATGAAAAATCGTTGATGATGCTGTTGCCGTTGCTATTTGTTCAATAACGATCGCCGAAACAGCCGAGTTCTGACTCGGGCAATTTACGTTATTAAGTTGTTTTTTTGTTTTTTTTTAAATAGGCATATGCCTATTCAGTATGAGTATGCCTGCAATCATTCTATGTTTTTAATGGCAATGTTGTATTTTAGCGTGGGTAATTAAAAAAACTTTGAAATTGTTAAAAAATAATTAAAACTAAAACCATATAAAACCAGTTTAAGGCTTAAGGTTTATTCAGTGACACAATAGTGAAAGGGAAGCGTTATCCACACAGCTCTGTGAATAATGCTGAGCGTTATCGGCAGACCGAAATCTTAGAAAATGCAGAGTGTTATTGTTAGACAGAAATGTTCCCATAACTACGCAAATTTCTAGAAATAATTAGGATCACATTCCAAGCCGGGGTTGGGGCGTAGTTTTAAGTAGTGTAGGATAGATCGATCTTTAATGAGTATTGCACAAACACATCTAAACACATCTCAAAACTGAAGCTACCGGTATGCACAAGTTAAATTTAAAAATAATAGGCCTAACTATAGCCTATATATTGGATATAGGACAATTAATTGTGCCTACATCTGCTCTGTTAGGGGCCAACATAGGGTCTATTCGACCTATTGAGTGTTACTAATATATCCAGTCAAACCTCCTACTCCTAGACATAGCTAATTTTCTGGTACTTCATATAAAATGTTATACTTATACCAGTAATAAAAATGGTACCGGTACCGGTATTCTTCATGTAGACTCACTTTCACCCATTGTAGAGATGTCTTTAAATGATGTCAAAGCTTGATAGCATATCGTTTAGTTTTTTTAAAGCACTAATCACTATGATATATCACGTAGTCCAGAAATGCTCTGTCAGAAAAAGTTGACATGGCGTGCAACAGTGTTATGATGCAGAGAGGTGTCTGCATCAGGCGGCCATGTGAGAGACGGGGAGGGGCATGTAGGCCCTACGATAACCATACACTAAAACTTGTAAACGCTGCTTCAACTGCCCCAAGGGAACTTTACGTCCCCAAGACTCGCAATGCATCCTACGACCAGCAGGGTTCCAATTAATTTTTGTATCATTTTTTTTTACAAGAGCTAAAATTGTTGTCAATGATATTGATGTGTTTTAAGTACAGTACCGGTAAGTTCATTTCATTGTCATTACTAAGTGTTATTTCAACTATTTCTGGAGCGGCATATTGTGTCCCTACTTATTATGATACTTATTAGAAAATAAAATGAAACAAATAAAACGGGACATTTTTTTCAGCTAAACATTAATACACAAGTCTGAGATCTAAAATATTTGAATAAGTAAGTTATTATTTATTTGTTTATTAGAGAAAAAACAAATGGATGTTAAAGTCTATGAGTGGAATTATACAAAGAAAATTAAACAGTCAAAAGAGCTAAAAGTATATCACAATGTACAGTTAGAACAGCTGGATCTGACTTAAACATGGTTTATGCGGCTCATCTGCATGTCCATGTTAAGTTTTTTGACGAAACTTGAATGAACATTCTAACAAAATGGATTGAAACTAGAATTTTGAATACTTACTTTGTTGGACAGAGTGAAAAGTATAATAAAATTGTATAAATAAAAAGTGTAACATTAGTAACAAAACTATATGAAAATAATAATAGTCAAACTATGTGAACAGAATAAGAAAGCTGTACGAAGAATATAATATAATACGAAATAACCATTAAATATTTTTTTTTTAAAAATTTTATTTATAAAAAGTAGCTTCCCGACGGGGAATCGAACCCTGGTCTTGCGGGTGACGGGCAGAGATACTGACCACTACACTACCAAGGAGATGTTGACATGCGAACTTAGTATTTTATATTCATAATTTAATTTATCACATTCTGCGAATAATGTCGAGCGTTATCGGCAGACCGAAATCTGCGAATAACGGCGAGCGTTATCCGCACAGCTCTGAATAATCACTTCGATAGTGAAAACGCATGTTCATTTATCCATAACTGTCAGCCTAAGTGATGAACTGTGAAAATAAGTCTACATTGTCAAAGTAATAACGATAAGCAAACTCGTGCAAATAGGATGGAAAAAGAGCATGACAAGTCCCAAATTTTCTCTTCAGTTTGCGCTTAGCCCGCATCCACATATTCTCATTGATATGTGTGTGGACTTCTGCATCATTCGGGTCAACGAAGTTGTGTTGATAAACAACTGAATGTTGATATATGCCACCTCCTATCCGCCTATCCTGTCAACTTGCACATAACCTGCCCAACCGTCAGATATGTGAGAACCTGGCAAAATGTGCTGCTCTATGCAAGCCTGCAAAGTTGCTGCATTTCTGTTCGGGACTTCAACCAGAAATACAGAACTTCTGCAATGAATATTTATTTGAAAAATATTTTTTTTAAATACCAACGAAAAAAAAATTTAATTACTGTGGCTAAAATACAACAGTACCTTTTTATAATATTACAATACTATGTAACATAAAAAAGCCCCTACATTACATAGGCCTATTATGACTACTACTCCTACAATATATAATTATTTAATATACATAATTTAATTTTTTCTAATATACCGGGTATAATTAGGTCATATTATAGTAACAAGTCTTGTAACTTATCTGAAAATATGTTTAATAAGTGTGGTGTAGTCTGTTATATTATAACTGTAGCTTTACACCAAGTTAATTTAACTTTAACAAAGGGAAAACTACATGTTTGCAGACTCCTGAATCTTTTAATCTCAATGTATGCAGTTGTAGTGCGACCTGGGGCAGACAAAGATTTTTGCTATCCCCTTTCTGCAACAAAGTCTGTAGTTGGCAGAAAATGGTGCCCTTTATTAAAATTTTAAGATAACGAAGAGTCACCTAGGGTAGGCCTTCCCCCTACCCCACACCACTGAAATTATGACAAATAATGAAGTCATAAAAAGAAAATGTGTTAGTTTTAAATATTGGCTTATTGCTGATTGAATTGTTTGTCATTGCTTAACATGTCAATTCTTAAGCTTAGCAAAATTTAAACTGACTTTTTAAAGAATAAATTATTTTTTTTTTCAGTGGAGCCTGAGGTTACAAGCCAAGGGTAAGTCTTTCTGATTAATGACAGATATGTTTGATCTAGATCAGGACAAACCTTAGCCTCTTGCAGCATCAAAGCTTCTCAGGCGCCCCCCCCCCCCCCCCCCCCTCTCTAAAAAATAAAAAAAAAAAAAAAAAAAAAAAAAAAAATGGAAGTATTTTAATTTTTTCATACAGACATTAGTGACATTAGTTATGTCAAAAGTTATTTTTAGTGTCACCTTAAAAATTTTGAAAGCCTGACATGTTTTAGAGAATAATGGCGATGTTATGCTACTTTTATTTTTATTATAGGTTTAATATTTTTGTTTAAATAGGTTAAGTAGGCAGGTTTAGTGTATATGCTCATTGAGGAAAGTCAGTACTTAAAATTTTATAAATTTAACCTTTGTTATAATCGTTACTGTACCTGAAAACTTAGGTGCAGTGGGTGGCATCAAATGGTGAATTCAATTCAATATAAAGATTTTCTCAAATTATTTTTTTGCTTGTCTTTTTAAATTAATATAGAAAAGTTTTGGTTTTGTTAATATTTTTTTTTATGTATAAAAATTTCAATAAAGATGTTTAATATGAAAAGAAAATCATTACTTCTCTAGATTTCCATTAGGAATAAATTTCTCATAAATTTTTTCTTTGATAGTATAATGCCTTGCGTGAGGAGTTGCTTGATACCTTTAAACCAAAATCTATAGAAGTGGTAAGTTTGACCCATTCTAATTTACCAATAATTGTCATAACTGCATATTTGGGAACCCATTTGTTATGGCTGTATGATGTACAGCGCAGCTATCTTTTTTTTCCATTTTTCAGAGAGTGCAAACTGCCACTTAAGGCTTTTTACTTTGGGCTTTTAGTTTTGCCAAAAATTGGTTGGTCACATATTGACTTCTTACAAATATTTAAACTTGTTTTGTAAGATGTTTTAGTATAACTTATTTTAAAAAATAACAAATTTTTCAGACTGGTGAAGGCACTCCGACTACCACTGGCTGGTTTGAGGTGCAGGTTGACGGCAAGCTTATCCATTCAAAGAAGGTTAATCTGTACATTTTGTTTTAATTTATAAATTATTTTAAATTTATGGCTGAAATGGAATACATTTAAAGTTATCTAAAATCATTTTTCAATGCATGGTTTAATATTTTTTAAACGCTTAATCATTCTGCTTCATGCATTTACAGAATGGAGACGGCTATGTTGAGCCTGGAAAGAAGATGCAAAAAATAATTAATGCCATACATGCAGCAATGTAAGACCAGAAATCTTACACCTAGGTGCTTAGGCAGGGCAGCGTCTCAGGTAAGTTCATCCATAAAATCTTCACTTAAACATTTCAGTTTTGCAACTAAAAGTTATGTTTTCTAATTCCGTGAAAACGTGTAAGCATTTGTTATAAAAGAATTTGAGCCAAAAATAAGTGTTAAAAAGCGTGTGCACTTAATTGGCTATTTTATAAATCAAATATGTCTCTCCTAAAGGGCATAATTTGTTTTTCCTTTACTATAACATTTGCTTTTTCTCCCCGGTCTAACATTCAATGATTTTGTTTTCCAGCTAGAACCACTTGAGCTTTTTCACTGAAGGAGATCTTACAATGAATGGTCTTGATTAAAGCAGTCAATGCAAAGGTCAAGGACATGATGAACAGAGTTGTCCTCCTTGATTTGGTTTGATTGGTCCTGGACAGATTGATGTTGCTCTGCTTTTCTTTATTATTATAATTATCCCAAGATATTCTTTTAACTCAGGCATAATTAACTTATTTTTTTCTTTGATGTGCAAAATATGTATGAATTTTTCAAGTGCATATTATTGTGGCACTTTTATACTTGATGTTTCCGAAGTTTAGCCAAAACAATTTTTTTTAATCCTTATCATTTAGTTAGAGTTAGAGATGCGTTAGAACATATTAGTTAATGGCAAGTGGCCCCAAAAAATTATACCAATATTGTTCTTTTTTTTTCAATGTTAATTAAGCTCCATAAACTTGAGTCTGCCATTAAGTAACATATCACAATCTTTGACTTAAGACTCATTAAACATGTTGAAATTGTTCAGTTCATGAAACACTACAAAACATGGCAAAGTTCAAATTTTGGGCCCAGGAATTTTTTTTATAATGATCTTTGCCAGAGATTAATTGACTGATTTGTATGTTTGGAATTGCTCACCTTTTGAGTGCTGTGGTTGTAAAAAAAACCAACAATGTTTTGTAATAAATCATTATGATCTCAGTTGGTAGTCTATTTACACAATTGTTTGTTTTATTTTTGTATGTTGTACACTATTAACTAGACATTTGGGTAGAATCTGAGACACATGTCAAAAATCTAGTTAGCAACCATGTAGTCCAGTATCTTGCTTCTTTTATTACAATTTAATGTTAGTGCAACTACAAGAGTTTTATTGGCATTGGACAGAACTGTACCAAATTCAGACATTCTTGTTTGGTTTCAAGGCATGATTCTGACTTAGCCAGCCCACCTATCTCATGAAACAATTATTCTTGTCAAAAGCAATACACTAGTTACAGTTGAATTCAATAAGATGAAAGATTTCATTTGACAAAAGCAATGCTATTTTTATTATGAAGTGATGACACCATCATCAGTGGCACTACAGCCCGTGTAGGGCCCTTTCCAGCTCCAGCACATCTTTCCATTCGGATCGATGCATGGCTTTCCGCCTCCTTGTGTGAACCCCCAACTGGCTTAAGTCCTTCTCTGCATCCTCAATCCATCTTGCCCCCAGGTTTCTGCCTGTATATCACTTTTTCTGCTATGCAATCAGGGGCATCCTTTCAATATGTCCAGTCTAGCGGTCTGCCTTTTTTTTTTTTTTTTTTTTTTTTTTATTTTAATGGTTCTTTGTTTAATTGTGGCTATAGTGGGTCTTTGTACAATGATAAAGTGTTTGGTTTGTATGGATTCTCTAAGTACAAGTTTCTTGAAGTGGTGATAAGCAATGTAATTTGATATGCCATGATAAACAGGTGGTCAGTGAAAGGTGTAAGATTTTGTTACTTCTTCACAAATGATAGGTAAAGTTGTTCCGAGTCTTGTATACAACAGTCGCACAGTGTAGGTTTGTGAGATATAAGTAAATAATTGCTTAGATGGCAGGCAGGAGCAACTGTCATTTATTTTCAGAAAAGATCATTTGAATTAAATGTGCCTAACCGGGCTGTTTTGTTGTAGTTGCCTCTCCTTGTGTAGACATTACACACTGAAACCGGAGAGTGGTAGACGTCTTTCAAAAACTTCAATCAGTGACAGTATGGCAATCAATCAGCAGAATTGTGTTGATCAGGGGCAATCTCCATAAGGCCAAATTTAAAAATAACTGGTCGGGACCGTAAAACAAATGGTGTGGACTAATATTTTTACAAATCCGGACCAAAATGTATTCTGACGAGCCATAAGTATAAGTTCACAGAAGAGACTCGGAACTATAGTACCTCAAGTGACTGGAAGATATCACATTAAATGTACTATGTATGAGTACCTGGTCGTGGTTAGGCCAGAGGTCTTATCAAATAGTGCTTCCGTTGAGTCAAGACTTAAATCAAACAAGCCAGAAAACATCCACTAAACGATAAAATGGAGGAATTAAACTTAAACTAAATTGCAAATCTGTTGACAGAACAAAAACAAAGATGAATTTAGGAATTGTTATCGTGTGACAGTTTATAACAGTTTGATTTTTTTTTAATGACTAACCCCCCCCCCCACACACACACACACACACTAGTCGTGCTTTTAGCATAAAGTAGAATGGTCTTAGTAAGACTTAAATCAAACAAGCAAGAAAACACCCACTAAACGATAAAATGGAGGAAATAAACTTAAACTAAATTGCAAATCTGTTGACAGAACAAAAACAAAGATGAATTTAGGAATTGTTATCGTGTGACAGTTTATAACAGTTTGATTTTTTTTTAATGACTAACCCCCCCCCCCCACACACACACACACACACTAGTCGTGCTTTTAGCATAAAGTAGAATGGTCTTAGTCTTGTTTTGTGACGTCGTCGTACAGAAAACATCTAAAACAACCACTTATTATTAAGTACCAACATTATCTTGGTGCACCTTCCAAGTACATTTTATTCCATCAAATGTTTTACTCTCATGATCTCATCAAAGCTTCTACAGAGCTCAACTGATAAAACTAAGTAAATAGAATAACATGTGAAGCAACCAAGAGGACGTCACTCCCGAAAAAATTACAGCCACAAGTAAATGTCACGATCATAATCCAAAGTTTGCACACGACCCCAAACCGTCCAAAAATACATTTTTAAAAGTAAAAGCCCACAAAAATAAGGGATTTTTGTCTGTGTGTGACTGTAGGTTAGCAACCATTTTAGATGTTCTGTATCTAAATTTGACCATAGCTTAATAATATCATTAGTTGGCCAACTTGAATGTCCACAACAAATTTACTATACGGGTTGCCCTGCTTTGTTTGGTTTTAACTCTGGTCTATTTCGTCTCAATCAAGCCCTCCCCCCAGCCCGCAGAGCCGTTCTTAGGAGTTTGGGGGCCCTAAGCATGGAGCGTAGGTGTGGAGCCCCGGAAGGGGGCGGGGGGTCCAGGGGTGGAGCTCGCTCGAGCTGAGGAGAAAACACCACCCACCAGTGCGGCACCGCCATTCTGCCGATTTCCTGTCTGCCACCCCCAAAGCTCCCCCCCCCCCTGCTGCTTCCCTTCCCCTGCCTCCGAATTCAACTCAGAATGATACATTTCAGAATGAGGAAGGTCCGGAAGGGGGCGGGGGGGCCCGGGGTGGAGCCCGCTCGAGCTGAGGAGAAAACACCCCCCCCCCGTGCGGCCCCGCCATTCTGCCGATTTCCTGTCTGCCACCCCCAAAGCTCCCCCCCCCCCCTGCTGCTTCCCTTCCCCTGCCTCCGAATTCAACTCAGAATGATACATTTCAGAATGAGGAAGGTAACGTGAGTGACACAGACGGCTGCAGTGCCAGTTTTAAAAAAAACCGGGGGATCGAGGGGGCCCCCTCACGTTCGGGGCCCTACGCGGATGCGTAGTCAGTGTATGCCTAAGAACGGGCCTGACCCCCGAGGCCAAAATATTATTCCCTTTTCACTCGTTTAACAAAGATATCGACTTGAAAAGATACGTGAGAGAAAAGATGAAATGACGTCAAAATAGTTTTATTCCGTTTTGGTATTTAGCATTTCCTTCTAGTGTGCACTAACAATAGATCATCAACTCTATACAGCATTTAGTAGGGGGTTATTTTATTATATGGTGTAATGACATGCGGCTCGCGAATGGTTTACTTGCTATCAAAGTGACCCGCGAATGGTTTACTTGCTATCAAAGTGGCCCGCGAATGGTTTACTTGCTATCAAAGTGGCCCGCGAAGGCTTTTGGGTTGGCCCTCTTTGATATTTACTATGCATTCCGTTCACTTATTCAAAGTTGGGCATTAAGTGCTACAAATTGTCAGCATCTGTTCAATAACATCAGTCCTCTATATGCATGTTATAATATAGTCTTCTCTGATAATGTCTTGTACATTTACATGTCCTAACATGATCTCTCTGGTCATGTCCTTTAAAGATTCTGAAACAAGTCCTCTCTGGTCATGTCTTGTATATGTCCTAACATGAGTCCTCTCTTGTCATGTCTTGTAAATGTCTTAACATACGTTCTCTCTGGTCATGTCCTGTACATGTCCTACTTCAGTCCTCTCTGCTCATGTCCTCTTGCAAAAGCTGTGGTTCGAGTCTTTTGTAAAATCCCCTCTTCCCACAAAGAGCTCGTATGATGATTTCCGTAGTTACTTTTCCTGACCACAGACCTTGAGACGTGGAGACGATCTTTGGATTGAGTTCGACAACATCCATAACCGACAGACGTCCTGAGGAGATGACATAAGATAAGACGCCCTGGGTAGATGACATAAGATAAGACGCCCTGAGGAGATGACATAAGATAAGACGCCCTGAGTAGATGACATAAGATAAGACGCCCTGAGTAGATGACATAAGATAAGACGCCCTGAGTAGATGACATAAGATAAGACGCCCTGAGTAGATGACATAAGATAAGACGCCCTGAGGAGATGACATAAGATAAGACGCCCTGAGTTGATGACATATGACATGAAATAAGATATTCAATGTTATTGTATTGGACATCACTGCATAATGGGAGGTGATTTTTTTTTAAATTTTAACTGAAAAGTGCAAGTCATATGTCAATTAGTATTATATCAAAACAAGGATGGCAATTAGAAAGAAAGAAAATTACTTTCTTAAAATGACGAGTTTAAGGGCACTAAAAAGTAGAAAATAATTCTCTTTTAATTCTTTATAGACGTGGTATTGACGTATTCATTAATTTTTTTTAATGTGTGTGAGGAGGGGGCCGGGGTGACATACTAGTTTGAGGGGGGGGGGGCGCTGGCCTTAAGCGTTATTTAACATTTGTTGACAACGTGTGGGTAAGGAAGGGGAATGGTTCAAATGTGTGTGAGGAGGGGGCCGGGGTGACATACTAGTTTGAGGGGGGGGGGGGCGCTGTCCTTAAGCGTTATTTAACATTTGTTGACAACGTGTGGGTAAGGAAGGGGAATGGTTCAAATTGACCAATTTTTTTTTTAACGTAATTTATGGACGGCCCCACAAAAAGTAATGTCTTTTGTTGATGTATTGAATAGTAAGTATGAGTGGAATCCACATCTTATCCAACAAGATATCTATAGTTTTAACTTTAAACCAACCTGTCTTGTAAATTATTGAGGATAACGCTAATGCAGAATTTATGCTGAGACCATTTGGAACTGAAAGCAACAAACACATGAGATTTACATTCCTGGAAATTTAAAATAAGTAACTAAGTTTGATGGAGCGGAACCTGCGTCGAGATACCAGTCAGTTTGATGGGGCGGAACCTGTGTCGAGATACCAGTCAGTTTGATGGGGCGGAACCTGCGTCGAGATACCAGTCAGTTTGATGGGGTGGAACCTGCGTCGAGATACCAGTCAGTTTGATGGGGCGGAACCTGCGTCGAGATACCAGTCAGTTTATTGGGGTGGAACCTGCGTCGAGATACCAGTCAGTTTGATGGGGTGGAACCTGCGTCGAGATACCAGTCAGTTGGATAGTGGGGGAACCTGCGTCGAAATCACCAGTCAGCAGGGGCGGCACAACGGGTTGCTGGCGCCCTTTGCAAGCTTAGCTTTGGCGTCCTTTTTAGTTTAATCATTAATGGAAAAACGAGTTACCGTATTCGGCGATGAGCTTATTAACCTAGGTTTGTTGTTTTTTAAAAAAATCAAACAATAAACAATCAAATTATTTTTTGTTAACATGTATCAGAATATCCTTTTTTTATTGCACTTTCTATTTTTCTTCCATGGCGCTCACATGCAATGCTGTTTCGTATTTTGGAAGATCGTTGGTGGCGCCCTTAGCACGCGTCTTGTACGAAAAGTTAGAATATCGTTTCTCGACCCTGGACCCGAGGTTCACACTTCACTATAATTAACTTATGGAATTGCAATATTTTCCAGGCCCCCCTTTGGCCACGGCACCCTGTGTGAGGGCACAGGTCGCACACCCTAAAGGCCGGCCCTGCAGTCAGTTTGATAGTGTGGGAACCTGCGTCGAGATAACCAGTCAGTGAGTTTTATTTTTAAATATTAAAAGTAAGGAAATTGTCGAAATGTAGTCATGGTGAGGTGAGACTGGTCAAATGTAGATATGGTTAAACTGGTCATATGTGGGGCTGTTAGCGGGTACCCCGGTGCCCGCCCGAGCCTAACTGCCCGGGCAGTTCTCGAGCATTCGAAAACTACTAAAGCTAGCTGAGGTTTGTTGTATTTAGTCTATAAAAGTAGTTTTGTTGTTGTTGTTGTTGTTGTCAAAACCGCTCAAGCTAGGTTCATCTTGAAATGAGAAGGCATAATTATATACTTAGGGTGCTATCGTGTAATATGCTTAGGGCACGTGACGCCCTATTCAACAACGTCCATTAATAAATATTAATATAAATTTCTTGAATGCCCGCATAAATTAAAATCTAGACTTGCTAAGAAAATTCTAACTTCATATTTGGAATCGCCGCGTTAAAATACATACGCCCTATGCCCCATATGATTTACGTTGAGGAGCAAAATCTATTTTTTTACCAGTGTAATCACCGCACAGGTATAATGATATAACGCAATCAATTAATTCTCACACTGCTTTTATTTTTCTATTTCCAAACTGGCAAACGTGATGAAGCTTACCAGGCGTTCCCGTAGCTGGCATTATTTCAGGGTCTAATGCATCCACGTCAAAACTTAGGTGAATGGGTAACTTGCCCCTGGTGAAATCATTTTTTTTTAAAAGTTGAAATTATCTGAGATTGTCCCGTATCTTAAAAAGGGGTGGGGTGGGCGTGGATGGAGATCCATATACTACTTTGTCAACTGGGACCAATTAGGAGCACAAGGGGAGCAGGAGGAAAGATAAGGTATAATAAGAGCACGTGTGATACAGCTTGAGATGGAGAAAGAGAAAGTATAACAAGAGCAGGTCTGATAGTGCTTGAGGGGGAGAAAGTATAATAAGAGCAGGACTGATACTGCTTGAGAGGGAGAAAGAGAAAGTATAATAAGAGCAGGACTGATACTGCTTGAGAGGGAGAAAGAGAAAGTATAATAAGAGCAGGTCTGATAGTGCTTGAGAGGGAGAGAGTATAATAAGAGCAGGACTGATACTGCTTGAGAGGGAGAAAGAGAAAGTATAATAAGAGCAGGACTGATACTGCTTGAGAGGGAGAAAGAGAAAGTATAATAAGAGCAGGTCTGATAGTGCTTGAGAGGGAGAGAGTATAATAAGAGCAGGACTGATAATGCTTGAGAGGGAGAAAGAGAAAGTATAATAAGAGCAGGACTGGTACTGCTTGAGAGAGAGAAAGAGAAAGTATAATAAGAGCAGGTCTGATAGTGCTTGAGAGGGAGAGAGTATAATAAGAGCAGGACTGATACTGCTTGAGAGGGAGAAAGAGAAGGTATAATAAGAGCAGGACTGGTACTGCTTGAGAGAGAGAAAGAGAAAGTATAACAAGAACAGGACTGATACTGCTTGAGAGGGAGAAAGAGAAAGTATAATAAGAGCAGGACTGATACTGCTTGAGAGGGAGAAAGAGAAAGTATAATAAGAGCAGGACTGATACTGCTTGAGAGGTAGAAAGAGAAAGTATAATAAGAGCAGGACTGATACTGCTTGAGAGGGAGAAAGAGAAGGGACGGAAAGTGAGAGAGCTGGATTGAGAAAGTGGATTGGTATTAGGATATAGAAGAGACAGAGGATGTGAGACGAAGTAAATCGAAGAGACAGACAATTGTTGTACCGGTAGGTTCTAAAATTGTGATGTCTGATTAAGTACAGTGACCTACTCTGGGTCCACAGTTGCTAGAGCTCTCTCCATGACCAGGTCCATGCCCATAATACTGACATCTTCTGTGGTGAAGGCGCAAATGTTCAGGTTGTCAATGAATTGTCTGAAGGGTAAGTAGAAATAAACGCATATTAAAGTTTTTAAAACATGATTCTGGAGAGGAGCTTGAAGGTGGAGTTCGAATAACTAGAGCAAAGTTTTATTACCCGGAGCTATAGCGGGCAGAAACTGTCACTGCAGGAGCTCAAAGAATTTAAAAAATGGAAATAAACAAGCAAGCATGGTACATATGCAAGAGGCTGACACAAAAAGTATAATATACATGGAGACGTTAGCTAAAGGCGGACACACAAAGCATGTTATACATGGAGACGCGAGCTAAAGGCAGACACACAAAGCATGTTATACATGGAGACGCGAGCTAAAGGCGGACACACAAAGCATGTTATACATGGAGACGCGAGCTAAAGGCGGACACACAAAGCATGTTATACATGGAGACGCGAGCTAAAGGCCGACGGCAAAAGTACGGGATAAATGGAGACGCAAGCTAAAGGCCGACGGCAAAAGTACGGGATAAATGGAGACGCAAGCTAAAGGCCGACGGCAAAAGTACGGGATAAATGGAGACGCAAGCTAAAGGCCGACACACAAAGCATGTGATACACCTGGAAGAAGCTGGAAAGGAGAGCACATGATCGAGATGGGTGAAAAGCACTTGTCGGCGGGGTAAAAGGCAACTGATGGCTCCTGGATCTGTACCACCCCACTAGTTAAGGGGCCCATGGAGAAAGAGAGAAAGAGAATGGAGTGGGGAGGAAACGTAAAAGTATGCACATAGTGGAGTAACCAGTTTAAAACCTTTTAAAGGTAATATCACCATCAAATACAGAGCAAGAGCGATGTAAAAAAGTGGCTACTGGCCATTGTATAATTCAACAATTTTAAATTCTCTCATCAGAATTTTCCATTGAATAAATGTTTTGTTTTAAATGAGTTTCATTCGGTGTCATAATTGCTTCAATGCAGGCTAGATACACGACATACTTACATCTTGACTTACATAATTGCTTCAATGCAGGTTAGATACACGACATACTTACATCTTGACTTACATAATTGCTTCAATGCAGGTTAGATACACGACATACTTACATCTTGACTTACTTTTCTTCGGGATCTATAGACCGCAGTCCAATGTATGCGATATTTTTGGCAGAGATGCTAAAAAAAATATTAAAAAACTTTTTTAAAAAAAAAGACGCTCTATGAAAGACAAGTTTAAACGCACTTAAAAGTAGGAAATAATTTAAAATTTCTTAAAATGCATTATGCAATGAAAGACTGTGCAAACGTGTAGAAAAACACTTTATGAAGCCAAAGGATTCGAATTATATTTAGAAGAAAATTACATATTTTTATTTGTATTAATTTGTGAAAATCTTTTCTCCATAAGCCCTTCCTGATCAACACTCACAAAATCCTCAAGCTCTCATCTGAGCTCCCATACCCGCCCTTCTCCCGCCGTTCACTAAACGAAGTAGACGCGATCAACCACGATCATATGAGCGAGAGGGTCAAGTGTGACAACAACAAAATGATGCTACAACGTTACATACAAACTCCATGAAATTGCTGGTAGAAAGAAAGTATTTACTTTTAGGCAATCAAGGTTCGAACTAACAGCTCAATTTAAATCTGGAACTATCGTTTATTTCAATAAGTCTAGTAAATAGCAAAATGTTTTGCAATAGCAGCATTCACATCATTGTGTAATTTAAAGAATACCCCGGCCCATGCCAGTTTAAACAAAAAATATATTTTTAAAAGCTCGAACAGGACACGTCCCGATAACTCACCAAGGCGTGCACCACTCCAGTCCTGGGACGGGGGGCGTAATGTGGGGCAGTTCTTTACACAGAAACCCAACGGGCATGCCGTGCAGGTGTCCAGACGGGCTGGTCAGCGGGGTGTTGATGTCCGGATGGGCGTCCACCCATATCAAAGCGATGTCTTTTTGGAACCGTGTGTGACCAGTGACCGAACCCAGCGCCACACTGTGGTCACCTCCCAGTAACAAGACCTTGCGACCAGTTTTCATGATGAGAGGAATCCTCTCGGCGATCTGAAAGTTTGTGTTTTTATTTTTAAAATTATAAAACTGTGTCCCTTTTGGTTACAGGATTGTTTTCTTAAAATTTAACATTATTTAATTTATATAAAATGTTTCATATTTTTTTAGAGTGCGTTGAGTGTTAAAAGAAGATAAAATTTATATTGTAAATGCAAACAATTTGATAAAAAGCACGACAAATTGTGTCATCCAGATATTGTTGACGGAAAATTCTAGTCATCGACAATTGTCAAAGTAATTAACTCCCAAGTTCCGTGTATTCAGAGACACTCGGCCTCGCCTTGCACTATAACTTACCTGTAAGTTTGCCTTGCCGACCGTTCGGGCAAATTTGCATCCTTCTACAAACTCACCATCATTTTCTACAATGTCAAAATGGAGGTCACCGTAGTCATGGACCCTGGCACCTGAACATAAAGTTACTGTTCAGTTTCAATATGTTAAAACATGAGCAGATGTTCACGCGGTGTGGCAAATATGTTCACGTTAGTGTTTCTTTGGATGATGATCAAAAATTTGTTTGACTGTGGTGTGCTGCCAAGATTTGAAATACAGCTCGTAAGACTTGACTATAACTTGACGTAGTCCTGACTTCTTAAGATCAGTCTAGATTGTCATTTAAAAAATAGATCTAAATAGATTTCCTATGTCCAGAACTATTCAGAGTTGTAGAATGATAGAGAAAAATATATGAGAGACCAGCCTCTTGATAGATAGGCTAACCGAGACTATAGCCAGACTATAGAAAGGATAATTGAAACTTTAAGAGACTGGCCTATAGTTAGCATAATTGATGTTACTAGAGAGCAGACTAAAAATAGGATAACAGCTGAGACTATCATCTGACCCACCTTTCCTTTCTAATCTTTCAGTTATGCCAGCCATGCGCAAAAGGTTGGGCGAGTTTTCTGCTCCATCAAGAGGCTGGAAGATGACATCAATTTTATGACATGTATACGATGGCCTTTATGGATGTATTATAAGATGACATTAATAAGTTGGCATTTATAAAGGGTATTTATAAGACGACATTAATAAGATGATATAAATAAGTTGACACTTGCAAAAAAGCAATCAAGTGGTTCAGAGTGTATATCCCCACAGAATATCGTCGGATATCGTGGCATGGTAACACTGCAACTCTATTTGATGGGGATCGAAATTGACTAAGCTGAAGCACTTGTCGGTGTGGTCACCTCAGGGAAATACATTAGTTAAATAACCACGCAAAAAAATCAGTGTCGCCAATAAGAGGCCGAAGATACAAACAGATTGCGTGTGTCGTCTGCTCAGAATAAATGGTGATGTATTTTGTCATTGACTTAACGCTTTGCCATTAGAGGCACCGAGCATTGTGTGTTTCAATAACTAATAGTAGGCCTACCTAATGGCAACACATCTAACAACAAAATGACAAGGGAGGGCTGTCTTTCTTGTTTGAACTGATCACATTCTACAATGGGCTGTCTTTCTTGTTTGAACTGATCACATTCTACAAGGGCTGTCTTTCTTGTTTGAACTGATCACATTCTACAAGGGGTGTCTCTCTTGTCTGAACTGATCACATTCTACAAGGGCTGTCTTTCTTGTTTGAACTCATCCCATTCTACAAGGGCTGTCTCTCTTGTTTGAACTGATCACATTCGATGTGATACTTCACGATGTGACCAATATTTACCTGACCGTGCACTAAAGGTGCTCCAATGATTCCCACTCTTTGCGTTGCCTGGGGTGGCCTTACCTTGACCTTCTGCAACACTCTCAGGTTTGCTGTGAGCAGGGGGATACAAACTAAAGTAAATGGTATTTTGAAAATTAACAGTGGTAAATAAAGACACAAATAATATTATCAATGGTAAATAAAGACCCACATATAATATTAACAATGGTAAATAAAGACACAAATAATATTATCAATGGTAAATAAAGACCCACATATAATATTAACAGTGGTAAATAAAGACACAAATAATATTATCAATGGTAAATAAAGACCCACATATAATATTAACAATGTTCAATAAAGACCCACAAATAATATTAAGAATGGTAAATAAAGACCCACAAATAATATTAAGAATGGTAAATAAAGAAACACAAATAATATTAACAAAGGTAAATAAAGACAGACATAATATTAAGAATGTTCAATAAAGACACACAAATAATATTAACAATGGTAGATAAAGACCCACAAATAATATTAAGATTGGCAAATAAAGACACCCAAATAATATTAACATGTTTATTATACACCTCCCTACCAATGGCGCAGCAAGGATTGGTGCCACCCGGGGCGGGCTAAGATTTTTGCCGCCCCATTCGCGAAAAAACTCTGCAGTTGACCTAGAATGCCGCCCCTCCATATAATGTTAGAAAGGTCACCGGGGGCGGAAAGCCCCCCCCCCCCTCAACATATCCCTTCTTACGTCAGTGCTCCGAACACAAAATTTGACCATAGAAGACTCAGGTTGGTTACATAATCACAGGTAAACCCCATGACTACCCTGTAATACTTTCTCAGAAAATTGGAAGAAACCATCAATTATTAGAACTAGAACAAAAAATATTTCAGACCGATCATCTTTGGGGGCGTGGCTACTTCTGTTTGGTTTTTAAAGTGAAAAAAAAATGATGTCTTAACCGAAGAAGGGACATAAAATTACTGGACAGCATTAATTTATTATTTAGTGTGTAAATATCAATTCCTGGCAGGTCAAGTAATCCAGCTGAAATTACCAATACTTTCGATGCACATTTCTTATTTAATCAAATATTTACAAAGTAAAACCGAAACATGGATAAAAAGAAGAGATTTAAAAGGAGATCCGCTGTATTCCCTAAATACATTATCTCTCAGATAATCCCATACTAAATTATACCCTAGAAAATCCCCAACTATATCCCAGACTATATTATCGCTCAGAAAATCCCAAACTATACTATCTCTCAGACACTCCAAGACTATACTATCTTTCAGACAATCCCAGACTACATTATCGCTCAGAAAATCCAAGACTATACTATCTCTCAGACAATCCAAGACTATACTATCTTTCAGACAATCACAGACTACATTATCGCTCAGACAATCCAAAACTATATCTCTTACAATCCCAGACTATACTTTATCTTAGACTTTATCAGACTATAGCCGACAATACCACACCTCTCACAATCTCAGGCTATACTTTTACCTCTCAAACAGTCTCAGACTATGTTTTCTTTCAGATATGACAAATTAGCGTATCGACGTTTGAGTAGACACAGTCACAGTTTGCACCTACGTAGCTTAGGTTGTCTGTGTCTACTTGGCATATGTCTGATACATATTGCGCACACTATGTTGGTGACAGTCAACAAAGGCTCAGTAGCTTGCTGCAGCGGTGGTCCCCCTAGCACCGACCACATCTTATTGAAATTGGTTCACATATAAAATAAACTCAAAGTACAAACTACAGCTAAGTTTGAACCTAATTTGACCATGATAAACTCGACGCTGTTAAATAAAAGAAGGTGAGTCAAGACAAGATTGATACATTTGGGTTTCCCGCCCCTACTTCCGGTGTGATAATGTGCTTTACATTTTAAAAAAAAATAATGCGGCTATATAATTCAAGAGTTGAGAGGCGCAAATATTGACATAACACAGTTAGTACATTCATTGTACATGGATGTAAATCAGCTACTGACAGACAAGAGTAAGATTTTAGAAAGATAAGCCGAACACCTTTGTCAAGTCATCTTAACTGTCCGGCTGCTGCAAACCATAATGCCATTGCCCGTTTACCACAGGTGGAGATCAACTAAGAGCTAGACAATGGTGCGAATGGAGAGGAAGTCGGGATGACAATCGAGCAACTCTCCTCAAAGAAAGCCCCAGGACAAGATGCAAGCCCTGTTGACATCTACAAAACAGGAGGCCCCGTCCTGACAAAAAGACTGACAACATTCCTCATCCATTGTTTTATAGCTTGGTCAACTAAAATCATGAATATAATTTTACATGGTTATAGTAAAAAATCTACTGTTAAATTATCTTCAAACATCCCTTCCACCCTTGTAAATTCCAACTCCCTCCAAAAATTCAGCAAGCTCAAGAGAATTTTGTAAATCATTGCCTCTCCAGATTATGGATCAGTTGTGTTTCCAAAACATTTTTTGGGCTTTATTTTATTTCACAAACACGTAACTTTACTGTTAATCCAGGAATTAATCAACAACTCCATGTTCATATTTGTACATTTATTTTTTGATTTGGTTTAACTCAGTACACAAAATTACAAAAACTGGGAATAAATTAAGTAGGTACACTACATCAATGACACACATCATTACAAAAACTTTTTTCAATAATTGGACAGACAAAAAGTGCTAAACAATGTTATCTTTTAGTTCATCAGGTGCTGAATTCATTAAATTAAGACAAATAAATACTAAAGCAAATTCAATGTTAACTGTAATATATCTGTTCTGTATTTAAACATATTGAGTTGTGTGTTAAGATTGGTGAAATTTAAGTCAGCAATGAAGAACTCACTGGTATTTGATTATCTGACCTGGAAAAATGTCTAACCTTGAATCAGATGACCTGACACAGGTCTTTATTAACAGATATACATTTCAAATCTACAATAAGACACAGGTAACCTTATCACACTTCTGGACTGGACTATAACTCTAAGTCCTCTTGGAAATTTAAAAAAAAAGAAGATTAAGTCTATTTAACTGACATGAAATGAGCATTGGTTTGCCCTTTTATGTCTTTAAACTATATAAAAAAAAACAACTGTCTAATCTATTTCATTGTTAATGAAATAAAGCAACCATTCTTAACAAAGAGCTTGCCGATCAACATCATGAAACAAAGTTAGCTAAGCCTTAATTTGATTGTAAATGGTTTCCTGTTGAAGCCATAAACAAAAAAGATTAGGAAACTTGCACAGATGAATTTAATTAATTGGAGCACACCTACATGACCTTTCAACTCAATGACTAGGGAGATATAGCTACAACTAAACATTACTACTCACGAACATCAACTCTAAACATATGTCACCCACGTCACAAGGCAGAAGCAGCTTTGTACAAGAAGCGAAACTTAAGATACATTGCAACAAATGTACATGATAATCTCATGCTGTGAATCTTCATTCGACTACTTTCAGAAAAATTTCTATTGCATAGCAGCAAAGCAAACATCAAAAGAAGGGGTCAAATCGAATAATGAGAATAGCATTAACAATAGTTTGGTGTGGATTCCAGGACAATGAATGGATCTGATTCAAGGGTTGCTTGTGTATTTAAACAAGCTAAGAATTAGTACAAAATTCATTGACCGACTCCATATTTTTGTTACTTCTTAGAGAAATTTTTTTTTTTAAGCAAGGGTTCTTCATCTTTTTGAAGCATGGCACCAATTTTAATTTCAGAACATTTCCTGCCTCCCATCTCAATTTCAAAATGTTTTTTTACAACCCTACCCACCTCACACAAAAAATGCTAATAAAATGCAAATAAATCTGAATTTTTTTGGGGTCTTCCCGCACTCCCTCCCACATCCCTCAGAGGCTTTAGCAGGTAAATTTCTTCTCTTCTCCATATTATAGCAAGTCTTACAGATGTTACCTCCCATTGTCCAATCACTTCCACTATACACAAGTTATATATTCCTCTAATCATAAACCTGATATGCATGTCAATTACTCCTCCAATCATTTACCATATACACATGTGAACTACTTCTCCAATCATTCACTCTATAAATATGTAAAAAAAACTTCTTTATAAAAGAAGAATACAGTGCACAAATAAACATGTATGAAAGTGTTGTTATAATAAACAGAAAATAAAAATAATCTGCAACATAATTATTATGTGGATCATAAGTAAATACTAAAATGAAAGTCTCAACTAAGTGGCACATT